GTTGAACTGAACCGAATGCCATTGGTCCGACCGCTTTTTTTTCCTAACATTTCCGAACCGAACCAAATTTTTTGCCCAGGCACATACCTAATTTTCAGGGAATCTGAGTTCACAAAAGTTCCAACAAGTTTATTAGGATACTTCGTTGTATATCTAATACTATCACATCTATTGTATGTGACAAAACTGTATTTGCTTTTCAACCTTGTCTAAAGTATTCTAAAATAAGGAATACTGTATACTGTCTAAAATGAATTATCCTCCAATATTTCTGCAAATGATGAATAAATGAAAAAACTAAATTACATACACATACATAATTGTAACTTTTTAGGTACCCTGAACAACAGTCTACACATGTTTACTATGCATCTAGAAGTAGTAAAGTACATTGAATCACTATTTCATAGGAACTTTATGAAGCCAGATATTACTTTCATATATCACAGCTATACTGAGCAGTGCCTTGTTTTAGGATGTGGCCAGTTAGTACCTATATTTTTTTTATTATGCTATGAATACATTTGGAAATACATTTACAGTATTGTGTTCCCTACAGAATATAATAAAAGGGTTTTTGAGAGTAAATATAACACAAGTTTTGAGATTATGGGCTTTTTTTTTCTAAGAACTGTTGGGAACTAATATTTTATGTGTATTTTTGAATCTTTACTACTTTTTCACTCTGCCTCCTTCCCCCAGTTCTGCAAAATAATCCACTTTAGGGCCCATTTTTCCGTTCAGTCGACTTTTGTGGAAATTAAAAATGACATCCTGAGTAAGTTGCACTAATATATATGTTTTGTAAAGCCATTTCATGTAAACACTGATGCATTGTAAAGAGAAATGCTTAATTATTTAAACTGTAGTAGGAAACACATACAGTAATTGCTGATAATTACCGATATCCTGTGCATTACACGAACACCTTCATTTAAAATAATATATTATTCATTCTAAAATACAAGCTGTAATGTCTAGCGTAGTTATTGATGTGTTTAGGGTTATTTACTAAAGTATGAATTGGTTATTCAGAGTGTATTTACTGATCGGGGTTAAAACTTCGATTTTTTGGGGGGGGGCATATGTTCTAGTTACACCTATTATTTAATTTATGTGAGTGCAACACTGTTTATGTTACATTGATAAGCCACAACATTAAAACCACTAACCGGTGAAGTGGATAACAATAATTATATTGTTACAATGGCACCTGTCAAGGGGTGGGATATATTAGGCAACAAGTGAACAGAACAGAAAATGTGCCAGCAAACAGATCTGAGTGACTTTAACAAGAGCCAAATACTGATAGCTTGACGACTGGCTTAGAGCATCTCCGACTGGATCATAGCATCTCCAAAAACGTCTTGTGCGGTTTTCATGGTATACGGTGGTTAAAATGTGCCAAAAGTGCTGCAAGGAAGGACAACTGGTGAACTGAACTCAGAGTCATGGATGCCCAAGGCTCATTAAGCTGGCTTAGAAGAGTCTACTGTATTTTGCATTTTGCATTAACGGAACACAGGTTGGAAATTTGTATGTCAAAAAATGCTCATTTAGGTATTGTATATTGATCTTTTAGAAATAACTAGCACAGAATAGGTTTTTATTTCATTGCATTGATTGTACTAGGGGATTTGTTAAAGGGCTACTTACAACAAATGTATCGCTCTACGGTCAGGGCGAAAGTGACAAACCTCCATGGAGCAAGTGGAAATTAAAGTGTATCTAAATTATTAACTGGATTTCATCAAATCAGAAACTGTCCTTCCTGATCAAATAATTTAATATTGTTAACTTCAGACTTAATTTGCCAAATTTCACAGAGTGCAACCTCTTATACTTAAATATGGATTTGTCAGAGAGTTTGTGCTCAGTTTGGTTGCGTGCTAATAAATTGCAGAAATAAAATTTCTGAATTTGAGCTTTCATCAACTTGAACTTAAAGCCACACTTCAAGCGCACAAGCTACGTTATGTGCAAGGTGGTCCTGATAAGAGAAATCCTGTCTCACATTTAAAGGGTTACTTCTTGTACCATGACTACTTCAGTGATTTGAAGTGGTCATGGTGCTTGCAGTCTGTATTTGCAGCATTTTTCTATGAAATGCCGCACAGAGTTTAACCCCTTTGGTGCTGGAGGTGCCCCACCATCTCTGGCAGTGTCCTTTGTGAGATTATTAACCAGCCAGGAACAAGAGTTATTGGCTGGCTAGCTAATGTCACTTCTGTGCATGTCATGCTGGCATGAGGTGTTCGGTGGCAGCTGGTCCCCTCCCCCAATGCTGTCGATGTCCTCTACTCAGTCTGTCCTCCCTGACATGCCTCCACCTGAAGCGAGAGGGAGGGACATCAGAGGTGCAGGATTGGACTACAGGAAGAATTTGGCTTCTGAGCTTGGACCAGGCTAGGAACTAAAACCAATATTTCCTTCAAATTTTGTTTTTTGGGTGGAGTAACTCTTTAAATTCCACTTTTACTTCTAATACCGCAAATATTTTTGAGTAAACCAGGAATTGTCAGGAACTGAGCATATCAAGTTTTGGTCAAAGCAGCAGAGCTAAAAAAAATCTGTGAGTTGGTGATTTTGTCCAAATTATCTGCTTTCGTCTAAAATCTACAATTCCCTTTCCAAAACTCAACAGCTTCTTCAGTGAACAACTCAACTACATAGATAACCTTTATTTGGTGATAATTCTATCCTATTGACTAGGTAAGTGAAGAGTACAAAATGTAAATCATTGCTCCTCTCCTAACTAAGGTCACATAGGTGATCAATAGCTATAAAATATTCTGCTTTATTGCCCCCACATGGCTTCTGTTGCCATTATTTTAATATGGATAATAAATAACATTTGAGGAATACAATTGAAATTAGGTGTGTCTAAAAGGTAGATCCCTAGATGCTGCAGAACTACAACTTCCATGATAATTTGCATGCCTTTAGAATGACAAAGCATCATGGGAGTTGAAGTTTTAAAACATCTAGGGATCTACCTTATGGGCATCCCAGATCTAAATAATAATCCAATCATCATCAGAAATGAACAGTTTGGGAATAAATGGCAGATCCGCACTGAGAGTTCCGACATCAATAAAATCAGAATATTTGACTGCCCGGTCAAAGTGAAATGTAAGCAAAACTAGGAATTTTCCAATGTTAATATTTTAGCTACAATTTGTTTTTTAATTTACCAACTCACCAAAACACCAAATTATAGTGAACTGGAAACAAGCCGGCAAAGCCAAGGCTAAAACAGCCAAGCCTAGATGAGATGAAGAATTGTTCCAAATCGCCTATGTTTGCCTAGATTTGGTAAATTGGTTTTGTATTCACTACCATTCACTGTTTAGATAATAAGCCCTTTAGTGCAATATTGCAAACTGTGTTTACCTAAAACTATTTACCCAATTAAATCAAGGTGAAATAAATAATTTTTTAAACCAGGGTTATTCATTAAATTATGAATCAACTGTCATGAATCCAAACTTTATTCAAAGTAAATCTGAAACATTAAGGCTATATTATTTGGACTGAAAACAAAATTAATTAACTGAACTGAGAATTCCAAGAAACTAACATCTAAATGGCAACATCTAAGTAAATAGCTGATATTGAGAAATGTTCCTACTTAGATACAGTCTGTTTAGCCTAAATGCTTTTGCATTTGAATTTACTATGGGAGTTTAGTGAACCATTACACAAATCAGTCATGGTTTCCAGTTGGCTGCTGTTGACATTTAATTTTAAATTAACTTTGAATTCCAGATAATTAATGATTTAATGAATGAACCTGTATATTTTCAATATTAACACTCAATACACCCCTTAGTACTTGATTAATTCAATAATAAATGTTGCATTAAAGGGACACTACAGTCACCTGAACAACTTTAGCTTAATGAAGCAGTTTTGGTGTATAGAACATGCCCCTGCAGCCTCACTGCTCAATCCTCTGCCATTTAGGAGTTAAATCCCTTTGTTTATGAACCCTAGTCACACCTCCCTGCATGTGACTTGCACAGCCTTCCATAAACACTTCCTGTAAAGAGAGCCCTATTTAGGCTTTCTTTATTGCAAGTTCTGTTTAACTAAGATTTTCTTGTCCCCTGCTATGTTAATAGCTTGCTAGACCCTGCAAGAGCCTCCTGTATGTGATTAAAGTTCAATTTAGAGATTGAGATACAATTATTTAAGGTAAATTATATCTGTTTGAACGTAAAACCAGTTTTTTTTTTTTCATGCAGGCTCTGTCAATCATAGCCAGGGGAGGTGTGGCTAGGGCAGCATAAACAGATACAAAGTGATTTAACTCCTAAATGACAGTGAATTGAGCAGTGAAATTGCAGGGGAATGATCTATACACTAAAACTGCTTTATTTAGCTAAAGTAATTTAGGTGACTATAGTATTCCTTTAAGAATGCACAGTTTGTACTGTGCTAAAATACATATGTACAAACAGTATGTGTATTGAACTGCAGGCTGTATTGCTGCATATCTTAGCTCAGGGGTGTCCAAAAGGTGATCCCCCAAATGTTTTAAAACTACAGCTTCCATGATGCTTTATCATGCTAAAGGCATGCAAAGCATCAATGGAGTTGTAGTTATACAACATCTGGGGATCTACCTTTTGGGCACCCCTGTCTTAGATGATGATTCTATTGGCTTCCATTTGGAATGCTGGAGGGTTAATGTAACTCTTTGGCTTCCAGAGCCTCCCGGGTCCATTATCAAGACACCCTTCTGCAGCTGTAGTGAGAGGATGGATTTACAAGGTCATATAACAGAGCGTCATGCAATGTGTGTACAGGGCGGACCTGAGATGGGACCCTCCCTTGTTTGGCTCCGTCTTCCCAAAACAAACTTGGTGATTGTGTCCCCCTGTCAGATGATGTGTGAAACAGGTAATGAGATCATCAGCAGAGAGCGTTTTAAAGGGAGAAGGTACAGAAGGAGCAAGGAGACAAGGTCAAACTGGGTACAAGCTAGAGGACACAATTCTTCTTCAACCTGTTCACAGAACCCTCAGCCTACAGCAGTGACAAGGAGAAAGAGAGAGATTGTAGATTAGTTTTAAGACCATCTGTGTTTCCCAATCGCAGGGACACAGCCAGGCTGTACACAATAAATCTAGCAGGGGATGGAAAGTAATGAAGGCAATTTAACAGTAGCTCCCTGCGTGAAAGGAAAAAGCTAAGCAGTGAATTGGAAGCATTCAGCACCCTGGGCAGCGCCTACACAACTCTCAGTGCCAATCAGCTGGGGATGCCGAGCCATTTAGCTCTGCTCTGGTTCATTTATTCCTGTCTTCAAACTCTCTCCAGCTTCCAGGCGCTCGGGAGTTTTATTTGTTACATTGTAAAGTGCTGACGGTTTAGCTGAAACGCGAGATTCTGCTTGGATTCCAATACATTGCTGACGAGCAAAAAGTTTGGAGGAGTACAGGGACAGCAGCGGAGGCAATAGCGGTGAAGGGGGAAACGGGGGAGACTGGGGACCAGACTGAGCTGCCGAATGCTGGTCTTCCTCGGCTGATCTTGAAGGAACGATGACCGGAGCAGGATGTGCACCAGCGGTCAGATCATCGGCAGCCTCCTGGTGCTCTCTCTGCTGGAGATAGGGCTGGGCCTGTCCAGTGTGGCCGTGGGGACTGTCAGCTTTGTCAGGGTCAGGATGGTGGCCAAACCGCAGCTGGGAGACTCTTCTCCGGTATGGAGCGGGGCGTGTGTACGTTAGACATTTCACTTCCTTCTTTACGGTTCGGCAAGCAGTGCTAGGGTAGCCATGCACACTGTATGTCATGTTAACCTGTGAATGGAAGGAGCACTGAGTCCAAAATCATTATTTTCATCAGCTAATGCATATATTAGGAAGGTTGTGTGTGTGTGTGTGGTGTGATGTGTGGGTATGTGTCCACGTGTGTGTGTATACACACACACACACACACACACACACACACACACCCCCCCCTCTCTCTATTTTCATAGACCATTATTATTGCACATACTGGTTTTATCTATCTATCTATCTATCTATCTAGTCTATCTACCTCTAATCTATCATCATCTATTCAATATTTATATATAATCCTCTATCCTATCTGTTCTACCTGTCTGCCTACCTACATAACATCTCACAGGTATGTGAAGTGTTATATATCGTTGTTACAATGTACATAAATATGTTGCTTATGTTTAGTCCACTTTCGTTTTCCCCATTTTAAAGTCCTGTGTGCACGGTCTATTGAAATTTCACCCCAGGTGTGTGTTGGTACCACACTGTTCAAGGTGAAAGCATTCATTAGACTTCTGGAAAATAAAATGGTCTAAAGGTACAATTACATTGAACATTGTATTTTACAGTTGGTGTGCTGCCAGTCTAAAGGGGACAGCCATTCCCCCCTTTCTGCTAATGTCAGTAATGCTCTCTGTCACATACTGTATTATAAGGGACATAGCTGGGGAATGCATAGATGAATTATATGTTGTGATACTCCAAACACAAAGACTGCATTTCAGGAGAGCTTTGGAGGACATGGTCATACTAAATCATCCTGATTATATTAGACTGAATTAGCCAATTCTATTTAACTATTCAATGCATGTTCATTAGACAATAAAATCAGCATTTCTAATTTAGTAGGATAAGTGCATAATGTTTTTGGTTCTTAGATGACTTGCCTTCTCACATGGGTTAAGAAAATTGAGGGATATGTGAAAATGAATACATTGCACATATTGCCATTTAGAATATGCTCATAAATGTATTTTATTTAAAATATTAGAGTTTTATTACTAAGCACTAGATTGATTTGTTATTGCTTCAATAGCAGGTGAACAGTTAATATGGCTTGCAAAATCCAAAGATATAGACCTTATATTTTGCATTTAGATGTGGGTGTGTAATATAATTCTAGTCATGTACTGGAGATTGCATAGATAGGAATGGACCTTACTGGGTACTTGAGAATAAGTCTAAGCATGTATCTACCTAACAATCAGGCTACTTTTTTGTCTGTGCCAAGCAAAGAAAGTGCTGATAATTTATCAGAAAATAGTATGTTTGAGACTAGTACGCTGTCCTTAAGCAGAGATTTCTAACATCACTAACATATGCTTATCTGTAACGCTAATATGGAGATCTGCATCCCTAGTTTATATGTCCTGAGGATTCTAAATTGTGTCTTTAATATGTCATGTGCTGTATGTAACAAAACCTTACATCTAGTGGTTAAAGAATGCCGGTGAAAAAGGTTTCACTAAAAACAAACTCAGGAGTGCTCTAGAACAGTTTTCATAGGATTCACCTGAAAATAATAAGAATTATTAGCAGTTCTATAGAGCCAAGATATCCCTCGGAATTTTAGTTATACAGTAGGAATATATCGCATGAGAGCAAGCAAATGACAGACAAACATTTTAGAGTTGAGTCTAAACCTATAATATGAGAAAGTAATAGCTTAAAAGTTTTTTTCTTTGTTTTTGCAAGTGAAGGATGGCAACAACCATAAACCAGACCACAAGAAAGATCTGGTTTATGGTTGTTGCTGCAGTTTTAAAAGGAATTAATTTACACTAATATTTTTTGTTTGTTTGTTTTTTGCTCTATTTAAAATTATTGTAATTGTTTTATCTTTCAATCAAATATACAAAGCTCAAGATGGAAGTTCACTGGCACATCTTGAAACACAGACACACAGCACAACTCACAATAATGGCACACGTATAAAACACACAAACCCCAAACTTTAGGCAAGAGAGACCCACACAACAGATCACACTCAATTTACACATATATGTATATGCACCACAGTTTAGATTCTAAAGGCACATATCTGGCAGGCAGATTCCATCCTTATTCCCTCTACCCCTCATTATTAAAGTTCCTGCTGAGATCATCTGCTAGACTGATGTCAACTGTTATGGTTAAGAAAGCTTTAATGTAGGGGAACAAGGGAGCATTAACTTGTGTGGAGCACTCTGACCTGATTAACTGCTTTCATCTTCCTAACCGCTATCACCAGGCCCTCAGCACATGTTAGTGTGGACATCTGATGAGAGGGGCAGAGAACAAGGAGTAAATCTGTTCATCTGCTCCTTCTATGTGCATCAAGTCCATGCAACTAACATAAGGCTCACTGCTTATGTAGGAGCAGACCTGCAGCATCACCCTACCTCCAACTTTAGAAAGTCCTTACATTGCACAGCATGGCTCAAAGACTGCCAAACACATAGTCTGACACATAAAACACATCCTGTCCGACTGCCAAACATACTAATATACAAACTCATACTAACAGCTTGAGACATTCACAGATTGCTTGGCCTGCAGACTGACATAAACACACATGCATTCTAACAATTACATTCAGACTCAAAGGAGTTGTGTGTGTAGAGTGTTGTAATGTATTCAATGTCAGCTATTGCTCAGTCTAATGCAGGAGATGTTCAAGAAGGGGCAGAATATTGCAATCCAGTGTTAGTCTTTGGTCCAGTTGCCAGTGGAAAAAACTAATGGAGACAGGTGGCATCCTCAGTTTTGACCTGGTGCCAGGCATAGGGAGATTTTTGTCCTTTTTTTTTTTATCACTTAATTTTTATCATTGCAATTTAAAACAAAATACACACTCGGCTAAATACATCTGTTCGTAAAAGGGGTAAAATGACCCAATGCTTTTTAATGTGTTATAGAGACATGCATTGAAAAGCATGCCAAAAATAAAATAAAAATACTTTTTAAATAAATAAAAAAATTCTTGGGTTTCCAGATCCCCCAACTGCATGGCTTAGGTTAAGCTTATTGCAATATCAATCAGAATCCTCACTCACTATGAAGAGTCTTTGCCAATCAGGAGCCTCTCATTCTGATCTGATAAGATTCTGGGATCTGATCTCATCATATAATTCCTTGTTTGTTAGAGGTTAATGGGATGTGTAAATAGTAGCTGATATTTATATATTGGATCCTAGGTTTTAGAACTGGACTATGTGCAACTGGGACTTGGAACATGCATAATGTGAACAGAATAACACAAGCAACATGGAATAGACTATCTTGTGTGCCAGATTGACATCTCTGGTGGGCTGTCTTATAGCTGAGTGATTTCTATAAATCACTGCAGTTATTAACTATAAATACCCACTTCTAGGGCAGAGAGTGGTCACAGGATACTTTGTTTGGTGTCAACTTCATAGAAGTAGCCAAGTAGTAATTGTAAAAAATGTGGTCTTCGTAGCAGAGGAACTCGGGGTATAAGGAAATAAAAGGAATTTTTAGAAAAAGCACAGGCTTTTCAGTGAAGGGGTGGGGAGGAGCAGTGGGTGGGATTGGAGATGGGTATGATATTGGGTCGGTGGTAAGTAAAAACATCTACCTAAAAATTAACGCATATACAAAAGTAAGAAGTAGACACAACATACTAATAGATGTAAAAATATTGTAGGATAGTTACCTACAAGTGCACAAAATACCATGCATTTTCAGTGTTGATTGAAGTATACCTTAATTGCACATACAGTGAAAACAATTACTTTCTCATCCTGACGCCCGCTTACTGTAACACAACTGAGTAAAGCTTAATGGGCCACAAGGGTGCAAGAGCCATTAAAGAGGGGCTTTCACATATAGAGCCTAGGTGGTGTGCTGCCATGGTGGATGTCTGTGTTTGGGAAATGCTTATGCCACCCATACACTGGGGCTCTCCAAACCACAAGGGTCTGTGAGAGAACCTTGCTAGTTCCACCTATTAGTTCCACAAGCTCAGAATATCTATATTTGTGTAATTCTACTTGTGTCTGTACAACTATAAAACTAATGTGGGAGCTAAGATAAGGTTTGTTATTTCACTTTAAATTCACATTATTTTGAAATGGAATTACTAGACGAAAAGGGGTATATCAATATTTAGCATATTCATTTATAGCATAGCAAATTGAAGGACAGTACTAAAGTTGCAGCAATCAGAGGGGACATTGCATTAGTTGCTATGATGATTGTTCCACATTTATCTATGTGCCCCAGAATTGCTCCACTTGTGTTTAGCTAAATATGATCCACAATTCTTCAATACTGTTTTTACATTATATTATACTGTTTTTCTAGTAATTTGCACAGGTCTGTTAGTCAAAGCTTGCCAGTGTAGTGATTTGGTACAGTATTACAAATTATTATTATTGGTATTTATATAGTGCCAACTAATTGTGCCGGGTTTTACAATATTATTAAAGGGGAATTACAATAAAGGAGGCAATTACACAGTGACATAGGAACAATAGGTAGATGAGGACCCTGCTCAAACAAGCTTACAGTCTAGATGAGGTGGGGTACAAATACACAACACGAATGGCACAATCACAGTACAGTAAACTGGTAAAATAAAATATAGTGATTAATGAATAACATCGATTTGTAGAATAGCTACAGCTGTATAAAAACAGTCACTGAGAATAAAAAGGCTGGTACCTGGAAGGTTGCATAAGTAGTGTGTGTGTGTGTGTGTGTATATGTGTGTTAACTAAGCACTTTGTGTAAAAGAGTCTAAAAAGTAATGTGTCTTATGACAACATAGACAGTCATTGGTTCTTAAAGGTTTAACTGATCAATATCACACAAGTTCCTTTTTCTATAAAAAAAAGTTTTACAGATCAGTGGCTAATAGACTGCTACTAACTCAACTACCCCAGCAACAGGGGAAGTCTACATAACCTTTTACCTACCACTCCTCAAGAGACTCAAACAAAATGGAAAGTTGTACTAAAAAAATCAAATTAAGTTTTCCCCTAAATGGCAAACACACTGACAACTAGCCCAATGTGCGTTTTGGTACCTTCATCAGGGTCCCTTTAAACGTTTTTTAGCCACCTCGATCTGTAGACACACCAGGCAGAAGGTATTGTAGACTTCCTTGGCAGGAGGAGTCAGGGTATTTAGTAGCCTCTGGAAGATTATCCTGTGTGAGCTATGTGTGTAATTAGGAGGATTTATAGCCTTTGCTAAGTATGTGGGAGTTGAGGTATTAGGAACCATCTTTAATAAAGGATCTTTATATAGTGTTCTGGTTATATCATTGGAGGATTAAGCAGACTCCATTGTGGGAGAATCAAGACATTTTTTTTTTTCCCTTCTCTTTTCAATATCAGGTATTTAGATGCGAAGATATAGGACTTTGTTTGGACTTTGGCTAGAAGGGTTACATACTAGGCATTGGTGAGGCTCTAATAGCTAAGTATTCATTGATGATAATATTAGTATACTCCCCAGTATAGGTCCTGTACTTTCTACTATGGACATCATTTTGAGCTTTAGAACTGATAGACTATTTCTGACATATTGCAAACGTCTCAGCATATAGCGAGCTTTTTTTTTTTTTTTACTGTTGCGGACACAAAAGTTACATTTACTGTATACATGCTTAATATAGTCACCTGAACAACTTCAGCTTAATGAGGTTGTTCAGGTGAGAACTATAGCTCCCAGCAGCCTTTCTAATGTAAACACTGTATTTTTGAGAAAAAAATTGTGCCCAGTATTGTGATGCTCTCTGAATTGTGCCCAGTATTGTATTTGTTTTGAGAAAATACAGTGTTTACATTGAAAGCTAGGAACACCTCCAGTTACAGTCACTCAGAGTGAACCAGAGGGACTTCGGAGTTGGTGGAGGCATAATATGCCTCCATCCACTCAGACCTGCTGTCAGCAGAGCACAGGGCAGCACTGTGCACAGCATCCTGTGATTCAGTATCTCCTCCCTCTGCATGCAGACACTAAACTTTCCTCATAGAGATTCATTGATTCAATTCATCTCTATGAGGAGATGCTGATTGGCCAGGGCTGTGTTTGAATCATTCTGGCTCTGCCCCTGATCTGCCTCCTTGTCAGTCTCAGCCAATCCTATGGGGAAGCATTGTGATTGGATCAAGCTATCACATGTCAGCAGACTGCTTGTTTTTCCTGAGTCTAACAGCATCCAGATTTACAGCTTCTGGCTTGAATACAGTAAGATTTTTACTATATTTATGGAAGCATGAGGGGCCCAGGGGGGCTAGATGGTGGTTTTATACATGTTTGTGTTCCTGACCCTATAGTGATCCTTTAACCCCTTAATGACACATGACGTGTGACCTGTCATGATTCCCTTTTATTCCAGAAGTTTGGTCCTTAAGGGGTTAAAGAGTTCATTGGGCATTTTAGAGTGGATGCTAACTACTTATATACAATACATTTCTGTTTTAAGCCTCTAAACCCTCTAATATTTTCTTGTTACTAAATATTACTAACTAGTAACACATTATCTATGGGACCTTCTAATTTACTTCCATACTCTCTCTCTATATATATTTACATTTTGAAAATATGTATCTGTACTATATCACACAGCTTACTTATATTACTTACATGTTGAATCATTTTTCATCAAGCTTTTCAGCAGACTCTTAAGCTACTGAGGCAACTTACAAAGGATGGAACACCTTAACTGCATGTAGTCAGTCTCATCCTGGGAATATAAATTCTTGTTTTCTGTTTTTTTTTCCCCACAGTAAAGGAATATTATATTCCCTTCTGGTGTTTTTGTTTTATTTCTATTTGTATATAATTGTATCAGGCAAACCACAGCTTTTCCAATATTTATCAGAGAAAAATGGGTATATGTTATCTAAACAGGATTAGATTTAATATCAGAAATGCAAAATCTTGACATGATTCTCTATAAGATTTGTACACCTATAAATCCCACTCAAATATTGACTCAAAATTTGTCAATAATTCTTTTTCCAGTTGAAGCATAAAATTAAATGTAGGGGCACACACTGATGATAGATAGTAATAGCACAAACATATAGCATATTTACTCATTTAATTATTGTAGCACATTCTTTTGATCTGGTGGAAACATTAACATTAGCAGCTGTCTTGTGCAGATTTTCCTGTAGGCAGTGCATTATATGTTATTGTTGATATCGGTGGGTGTCTTCTAGATTGTATTTATGTTTAATCTCATCAAAGGACAAAATATCCTTCGTAGAAAATAGGTCTAATATATTGCATATAGAATGCTGTTGACAGGCAGAAAAGTCCTGTATATAATCTCTCATGACTTAGATTGGCATACCATCAAAGCAATTATTGTTAGAGTTTATTAACTAATATACAGTGCCCCACATTTAGCAGGAAACTCTTGTAGTAGGTAGAAAATTATCACTAGTTTGTCAAAGTGCTTTGGTACCCATATAAATTCATTAAGGCTGTAGGTTTATACAGAGTCAACCAATGTGGCTGTTCACTCCTTATGGTCAACGTAAAGTCTACATCGTATGACTTTACGTTGGGAACACCGAAACTCCCGATGATCTCGCAATGCCTTAATTCCTCTGTGCCTTCTGCATCCCCAAATATATATATTAATTTCCTTCTGAGCCAAGGTAAAATATGAACCTGGGATATAAACTGGTACTGTTTAGTAATTTTGGAAGCATGGACATTTTAAGAGCTGCCAACCTGCTTAACCAAAACAGTTCAAATTTACTGCAACCTTGTAGCTCATTTCTCAGCTCAGGCCTTTCTGTTTTTCAAAATAGTTTGTAAAAAAAGGGCAGTTGGGTTCTTAGTAAGTGATATACCTAAAAAGGAAATAACGTCTGTTATCCAAACGAAAATGTATCTTTTCAATGATTCAATCAATTCTAAATTGCAATGAATAGGTTGAATATTTTGCACATTCAGCTGATATCAGATAGAGCCAAAACGCAACAATTGATTTTGAAGGGGAGAAAAGAAAGGTTGCACGATCTGATAAAGCCAATATAACATCATCGGCAAAAAGCCCTACAGTATGGGTAGTGCCTACAGAAGCTGCCAAAGGTCCATATTCAACACAAACAGCAGTGGAACAGTTGGAACCACTGAAAAGTTCCCTTTTCTACTGCTCTTCTGCATCTTATGTTCCAATCCTCTCTTCCCCGTTGTTTCTCATTTTTAAGATTGCAGGCAGGCCAGCAATAAATGCTGAATTGGTTTGTCTGTCTGCCAAATTAGGTCTTTATTTCTTCTTATGTAATGTGTCCAACAATGCTAAATTTAGTGATGCTCTCTGAATTGTGCCCAGTATTGTATTTTTTTTTTTAAATGTAATTCCGTGATAGCTTTGTTGAATTAATAATCAAATAAGAAAGAAAAGAAAAAAGCTATTTTAGTTTGCAAGGCCAAAGTTTGCAAGAACAATTATATCCTCTGAGAATATTTTTTCACTTGTGTGGATTATTTTAGTATCCATATGTTCATGATTAGAGAGATGTCTTGCTGAAAATATACATGTGAACATAATTCATATGCATAAATCTGTTGAACAATGTTACCGATGATTTTTAGGTTAAATAATATATTGTTATGTTAATTAGCTATTTTAGCGGAGCTCCCTGTACCCCGGCTGGGTACCTCCGCCATGGACCGCTTCATAGCTGGAACAGGGGAAAACCTCAGCGCTTCTGCCCCAGTTGCCATGGCTTGGCTGGGGTCCTCCTGGAGCCTCTCCATCCTGGAGCAGGATAGGGGAGTAGCTCTATTCCCTCCCAGGGACTGGATGACACACAGCCCTTACAAGGACTTTCCCCACCGAATCCTCCACGAGCTGGAACAACGTGCTAAGCAGTCATTATAGTCCTTCCCCTCCCAGTAACTAGATGACACATAACTCTGGGAGTACAACTGTTTTAATGCTTCCAAACACAGCCTTTTAATACACAGACCCCAGCAGGGCGTCTCCATTGTCTTCACCACGAGCCCCTCCCAGGAATCTCTGCGCCTAAGAGATAATTGTGTTAAAGACCGGTAAGCTAATTATCTCCCAGGAACAGAGAGGCAAACAAACATAAAAATACCCCAAAACATAATAAAAACAGAAAATAACCCCACAAATAATACATTTTTAAATAGCCCTGAGCTGAGCGCACAAGTTCTCCAAATAGCGCTCAGATCCATGCAGTGTAGGGGAAAGGCCACCGTGTTAAAGTTCTGACCTCCTCCTCCTCCTGCTCCTGCGGCCGCAATACGGGGTGCTCCGCCTGGCTCTTAGGTAGCGTTTGTTCCCCCTAGTCTCAGGCTCCTTCACTCCAAAAAGCGCTCTCCTGGTGGAGTGGTTCAAAACCGCTAACCAAGTTGTCCGGGAACCGCATGATTACCTCATGCCGAAAACAGTTCCATAACATTCGCAGCTAAGTTCCGCTGAGGTGACTGGGAACCCACAAAGTCCTTATGCCGAATTTAGTTACATAGCGGTTGCGACTTAGTACTGCTGGGACTATTCGTGGGTTTGGTTTACGTGAACGTCCGCCACAGAGCCAGCGTTCGGTTCTATTTGCATGAAGGGAAAGTGCCAAATGAGAGGCACCCAGGGAAAGCTACTAGTGGTGGCTGGACAGGGTAACTCCCAAATGGTGTCCCAGACCTGGACCATAGTTGATGGCAGGAGTCCATGGCAAACATACATGGGAAGGAGCATTTGCCACAGCTATTATTAAGTATTTATTTAAGTTTCTATACAAAAATATACACTCTTTTCTTTTGACAGTTGTGTTTTTTTAAAATGTTTTGCAAAATTATTTTTCTTTTTGGTACATGGAAATGACTCAAATAGCAGACTGTGGGATTCCTTTCACTGCTGTGTAGTTTGAAAAGATCTCAAGCCGTATAATTTTATAAGGAACACACCTTGGCAAAGTCAAGGATATTACTCATAAAATTACTCCCACTTCTAATTGAAGTAAGCTGGTGACTTTGCAGCGCTACGTATTGGACATTTTAACATGTGTCAATATTTTAAAACTATCCCTTTTTTTAAATATAATTTGTCTACCAAATTTCAAATCATATTCACTTTAACTCACTCAATTCCTTTTTTTCAGTTTTTGAGTGTTTTTTCTAATTTTTATATTTTACCAATAAGACAAAGGTAAATTTCATTTATTAATAGAATGTTCTCTTGCCTTAGGAGGTAGAAGAATTGAACATAAATTTCCTACCATTTTTCTTGTTTCTAGGTCACCTGCTGTATATAGCGTTAGATATATGATTTCAAACAGTATCAAACAACAAGAGAATTAAGAAATCTGTAATGTATTATGTTTGAACTTGGTCGTTGTATACGATTATGGATGGTGTTCTTTTTTAAGGACACAGTCATTTTTACAGATTCTGGCCGAGATCAAAAATTGGCAAAATTCCTTTTTGCTAAATTATGACATATAGATTTAATTTTAGAAGTAATTGCTATCCCTAGCAGTATTTATAAAACAAAAAATAATTGTGTTCCTTATTTATTGCTTTTCTTTATTGTTAATATTTAAATACAAAAGAAGTCCATAGACTAATTTACTGGAACCGCATGATTACCTCATACCTCATGCCAAAAACAGTTCCATAACATTCGCAGCTAATCACGTGACCCTTGCAATAAGCCTCAACCTATGCTTGTAATGGCCAGCATTAATGAAATATGACCCTGTCATTCTTTAGATTGTTGGTAATGTATAATTTATTTTATGTAAATGTTCTATATAAAATGTTGTGTTTTATTTATTATAGTAAAGGAGATACTGTAATACTTTGTTATATAAGATCAATTTATGTTTAAGTATTACAGTACTTTGAATGAGCTTTTATTGCAAGTGAGTTTAGGTAGTTAAAGGCAATATTCAATGAGGGGGTGACCGAGTGTGAGATTACATATTCAGGACAAGGAGAGGGAATGTACATTCAAACTTTCATAATATCCAGCTACAGCTGTCAGGGTCCCGCGGGCGGCTGCGAGGGGAGGCTGCAGTCCGCTCGCGGCACTCACCCTCCAGCCGTCCGCGGTCCCCCTTCCAGCCGTGTGCTCGGCGGGCGGCATCCTCTCTCCCACGGGTGCCGTCCGCCTCTTCCTCTGTGTCCCCCAGCGGCAGCATGCATGACGCTGCACGCTGGGAGACCGCCCATTTTAACAAACGCCGGGGTCAGTCACCTGACCCGGCGTTAAAGGCACAGTGCCTCAATCACAGTGGGAGGTTTAGATATCTCCCACGTGTGATTGTTAATTCTGATTGGAAATTATCCAATCAGAATTAACCTTTGGATTTATATACTTACCTTTCCTGTTCCTCTTCGCCCTGTTGTGGTCTTTACCTGCTAGTATTGATACTGAACTTGTGTTTCTGGTTACGTACTCTCTGGCTTGTTTATCCGACTTTGTGACTTTCTCCTACCCTTTGACCTCGGCTTGTCTATCGTTATTCTGTCTTCTGGTTCCCCTTTACTTGGCTTGTTTCCTGACTATTCTTTGTGTGCTTAGCCCGGCCACTCTAAGGTCCGGTACGGCACTTTGTGTGTGTGTGTTGACGTGTTTGGTTCCCCGAATCGTGACAACAGCAGTTTATGAGAACCGTAATCCTCCCAGTACCTTTTTCAAATAATTAGCTATACTTCATCATCAGGGTTTTTAGCTAAATTGTGTATTGTTAGTGATCAACTCTGCATCTTCCTCATTAAGCAATGTATTACAACAAATACCTGCAAATCAATGATCTGGTTTGATTATCGTTCAATGCATTATTTGTCTGTTTTCATCATTCACTCACTATGTCCAGAGAAGAACTAAGATCCCACAGGGACCAAGGTAGGTTACCTGTTTGGGACCCCCTTTATTCTAAACATAGGAATGGTTAATGGGGGCATGCAACCCTAAGCGGCTGGTGAAGATCACCTTAAGGCTAATCCTGGTCTGAGTACCTATACACTACCAGAGCCAGAGTATTTGGCTTCCAGTCAGATTCATTTGATGTGTACTCCTAGACAGCAACTATTTGCAGTGCAGCCATTATGTTAGTTCCTTTTCCATTACCAATATGCAGGGAGAGCAAACCCTCCAATATTGGCATTCCATAAAGGGGGATGACTGTGGATGGGGTAAAAGGATTGACCCAGTGATACAAATTCTAATATAGGCAGAATAAATATGTCTCAAGCACTCTGGGATAACAAAAATAGCAGCTTGATAAAGACCCAGTAGGGTTGAAGCATTGTTATCCCGGAGTGCCTGAACCGTTATTTATTCTACATATCTTGGAAGGGAAGCCTAACCAGCCCTGGCTTCAGAGCACCTGGGTTATTTAGTGAGTGCGGTATCCAGTATGTCTCTAATAGTGATGCAAATTTTGTGATTTGCTCTGCCTAAAGGGGCAGACCTTCTCCCTTTCCTAAAGAATAGGCAAGTCAGCCTGGCATGATTCACAACAAGCTGCCAGTTATAACCGGTTGACCCACTAGGGGCGGAAAATGCCAAGAGCTGTGTTTTAGCGCTGTCTCCATGGTCTTGGTGCCCTAAGACTGGCAAGACCATGTCTGTGATGGACCGCCTGGCACTCCTACCGAGTACCGCCGTCAATCGCTGCTTCCTAGTACTGACGAGTACCATAAGTGCTGCGCTGGAGCACCATAACCACTGCAAACCCCACAAACCACCGCAGCTTGGTTGGGGTCTCGCCGTCCTCCACCCACCCTGGACCCAAGACCAGGATCCAGCTTCCAGTGGGTAGGCCTCTCTTAGTCCCGAGAGCATAGCATGTACAGCTCTTACAAGTGATTATACTCAGGGGAGTATAGTCAATGGCGTACACACAATCCATGGGGCCCGGTGCAAAACTGATCCGTGGGCCCCCCCATCTCCCCTGTCTCCCCCGATCCGTGCCCCCCCATACCCACTATCACATACATACAGACACACAGACACATACACACAGACAGACACACACACACATACATATACCCCCAGACAGACACATACACACACACACATATATACACACAGACACACACAGACACATAGACAAACACACATACACACACATACAGAGACACACACACATACAGACACAGACACATACATAGAGACACAGACACACACACACACACACAGAGACACAGACACACACACATACATACAGAGAGACACAGACACACATACAGAGACACAGACACACACACATACAGAGTTACAGACACATACAGAGACATACATATACAAAATGTTTCCTACCTTGTGACTTACCCTGGGGGCTCAGCCTGATGGGAGTCAGAGTTCCCACTCTGACTCCCTCCTCCTCCTTCCTTCCGCGCGGGTCCTGATAGCTGGGAGGAGTGACCGGGGAATCACTTCCTCCCAGCTAGTGATGTCATTACAGCTGTTAAAGCGCCGAGCGCTGACCGGGCCCCCTGATAATCCATATTCATCGGGTGGCCCTGACAGCATGGGCCACTCGATGGACCCCTTCCAAAACGTGGCAGCTGGTACCCGGTTGCGGGGGTCCGCAGGGCGGCTGGGTCCCCTTGAGTGCCAGACCTGGTCGCAGCTGCGACCCCTGCGACCGCGGTATGTACGCCGCTGAGTATAGTGATTATAGCAATCCCCAGAGTGTAGTTCTCCAATCCCCCAAACATGAGCCAAGACTTCATGAAGATACAAGGTGATCTGAGCTTTAATGGTTCAGGTTGGCTTTTATACAATTCTTCAGGCCAGAGGAACACCCTCTGGACCTGATGGGGCCCAGGAACACAAACCAATCAAAACAAACATACTGTCTGTGACACACCCATGTACAGCACCCAATCCCTCCCCTCTGCTTGGGAGATAATTGAGTAAAGTCCTGTAAGTAACTCAATTATCTCCAGGCAGAAAAACCACATTTTCACAAAGTTCAGAAAGTACCCCAAAACATAACATACCCCAAAACTTTACATCCCTGGATAGCCCTGATCTGGGTGAACAACATATCCAAAACTCACCCATATCAGAGGAGGGGTTCAAAACGTTCATAGAAGTCTCTTTTTGACCGGTTGCAAGCATGGCTTCATGCCCAAAACAGTTCCAGGGAATTAGGGCCAGCGGTTGGTCTCTCTTTGTGGAGTACAAAAGTACTTACATTACATGAATGTAGCCTTTTAAAGTGTATTGGGCAAGGTATATTGCAGGGCCCATAGTCACAGGGTAGGAGGCAAGCAAACAGACCCCTCCAAAAACTTGTGGCAAACTCACAGAAAAAGGGGAGTTTGTCACAACGTCTAATGACTGTGGGACAGTTTTCGGGTGAAGCTGAAAGCTGGTAATGAGGAAACAAAGTTTAAATGGTTCACTCACCGGAATTGGGACAGTTAGGAGGTGTGGGAGAGGGATGAGGAGACACTTCTCTCTCTTACCAATGATTCTCCAGGTATTTCACTCAAGGAAGAGGAACTGAATTGGCAGCAGTAGTGGCTACCAGGGCTTTTAACTCCTATCAATATCAATATGAGACAGTGTCATTATATACTAAACCATCATGTACTGAATAAATATACAAAACATTGAAATAGACAAATCAGTACAAACATTTTGTCTAAATTTCACCCTATTATTAATCTTTCATATGTTAATTCTTGTATTCTTCTCTGGAAAGTTTCCTTAACGTAGACTGATACAGATTGATTTCTGAAACCACAACTAACATCAATGAATTGCATGATATGCTGCTACTCCAGTGTTTAGCCAGAAATCACAATTAGAATATATTTTTAGGGGATAACTGCTTGTGCCAGGCGTTGGATGGTATCTCGAGAAAAATCCAATCAAATGTGTTTATATATACATTCACACTGAATCTCAGGAGAATATTGCTCCTTGTGGGTTAAATAAGATCTCAGCTTTATTCAAGTCATATTGAAAGCATAATACACCAGCAAAACATTGCAAAAACCAAAAAAAAAAAAAAAAATTCCACCGTATAAAAGCAACATGGGGGCATACAGACACAAAACATAAAAAAAAGTTTGCAGAGCGTGTTTCTCACAGCACCAGATTCTTCTTCAGAAACTGCGTGAATCGCATTCAGCAGACGTCTTGATGTTTTGTGTCTTCCCCCCATGTTGCTCAAATACATTGGAATAGTTTGTTCTTGCAATTTTCAGTTGAAACATTATGCTTTATAAAGACTTAAAACAACTGATATTTTATATAATTCACAAAGTAATATAGTACTGAACTTGAGCATCAAGGTAAACATACACTTTTGGTTTTTAAAACCATTAAAGGGACACTCTAAACATTAGAACGACTTAAGCTTAATAAAGTAGTTTTGGTGTATAGATCGTGCCCCTCTCACTGCTCAATTCTCTGCCGTTTAGGAGTTAAAGGAACACTATAATGTTAGGAATATAATAATGTATTCCTAATGCTAGAGCGCTATTGGATTATTTGCCCCCTTCCCCTGTATCCATTCAAAATAATTGTACTTATCTTTATTCCCCCAGTGTGCCAGGTTACCCACTTCTCCCGGCTGTGATCGTCAATCTAAAATTATTCTAAAATTATTTTAAGACCTATTCTAAAATGAAATGTCTCACTAAATTAAAACAGTCAATGGAGCTGCTAATGCTTAACAAGCAGTGCGTTTTATGCTGGCGTAAGCTACTTTTCAGTCCTAATTGAGATGATGGTAATTTTATTTTTTTTATATATATATATGTATTGCCATTAAGTTATAAAAAATAGAGACCCGTATCTCACTCTTATATAGACAGAGTTATCTATGAAACACTTGGCTTTCAATCTTGTGGTTTACAATATCACTTGAATCCCTGAATGCCTTTACTTTTTCATGATACATCGTTCATTATTTCATGTGATTCACACACATTATGTTATCCAGGGACTTCCAGGATAAGCAATTCTTTCAATGCCTTACAGGGAATTGCTGTGAGGCTGCCCACAGAACCAGTCAGTGAGTCTGTTTCGTGATGTGTCTGTGTCTATATTTGGATGTGTCAATGCATAAGGGAATTGCCAACTTAAAGGGATACTATAGGCATACAAATAACTTTATCTTAATGAAGCAGATTTGGTGTATAGATCATGCCCTATGTAGTCCCACTGCTCAGTTCTCTGCAAATGAGCAGTTAAGTCACTTTTGTTTCTTTTCATGCAGCGCTAGCCACACCTCCCTTGGCTGTGACTCACACAGCTTGCATGAAAAAAATGTTTAATTTTCAATCAGATGTTAACTTTCTTTAGATGTTTGTATCACCTGCTCTGTAAATTGATTTTTATTTACACAGAGGCTCCTGCAAACTCTAGATGGCTTTTAACAGAGCAGGAGATACATTCTAGATTAAACAGACTGTGCAATAAAGGAAGTTTAAACATTAGATCTCTCTTTTCAGGAAGTGTTTAGGAAAGCTGTGTGAGTCACATGCAAGGAGGTATGACTAGGGCTGTTTAAAAAAAGTGATTTAACAGCAGAGAGTTGAGCAGTGAGACTGCAGAGGAATGATCCAGACACCAAAACCACTTCATGAATCTTAAGTTATTTTGGTGTCTATAGTATCCCTTTAAACCATTTTTAAGAAATATAAAAAAGCACGCTCAATTGCATTATTTTTTCATCAAATGCTGTTCCGACAAATAAGATCCTATTATCACATCAGTACGCACAGTGACAATGTGTCCAATTAATATACTCACAGGTCACTGTAAGGAAAGATGTATACACATATATTATTAATATCCCTTGTTGCATCTCAGTGGACAGGGTTAGCAAGAATGTAAGCTAATGGTTATAGATGAAGACCTCCACTATATTAATATTATGTTTCCATACTGTTGCCAAACGAGTGTCATATTGAGTGATGGCTAACCGTGACTGACTGTAATAATGATCGCCTGAGTCAGCTACTGTTGAGCTGTAAAGCAGGAAGATTAATAAGAAACACAGTATTTATTTAATAATATCATGACAGGTCTTTGAGAGCAAAAAGGGCATTACACACAAGATATCAATCTCAAAAAGCATTCAGAGCTATGTTTATTTCAATGGAACTTTTTAGCTTTTTAAAAAATATTTAAGTGTTTATGGTTTTTCACTGGTGCAAATTTATTGTTGACAATAACAACATTTATTGTTATTATCAATTTTCAGTCATATTAACAGTATAACTTGCAAATAATTCATGGAATTGTATGCATGTATTCTGTGGAAGAATGGGTCGAACCTCACTCTTTTAACAGGGTTATTCAGTGAGAATTGAAAGTGATTTTCAATTTTACGGCCAAAGATAGTCAAATTGAAAACAGAATTGAATTAGAAAATGTTTCAATTCAGATATTTTGGCCTATATTATGAAATTTACTTTGGATTCCTTTAAATTCTCACTTTAGTAAATAATCATTTGAATATTACTATTATTATTATTTAATTTGCATGGCATGCTTTGGCTGTGTCAGGATAGCCAGGCATAATATGTAAATTATAAAATGGTTCAGAATTTATTTTAGACAAAAGTACAAACCCTTAGCTGACTTTTTTTTATAATGAATAGCTGACTACATGATAGTAAATTTATATGCTGGATTTCTTATTTTGTTATTTTCAACCTTTCCATTTCTTTCCAGTGTAAAACGATTTTATTGATGTTGCTAAAGTTGTGTTCTATTTTTGACTTTAACACAGTTATTTACTGGAATATTTTTAGACAAACATTGTTGAACTGTTATCATAGCTGACTTGGATAATTTTTTTCAATTAAAAATTCGCATTGAATTAACTTTGAATTCCCCACAATTCTCACTTTAGTGAATAACCCTGAATATATAATATTGGTTTGTCCACTCATGGTGGGATTGCACACCAAGCATATGAGCATATGATATATGCAGGGGCGTTTTAGCCGCGAGGCAAACAAGGCATTTGCCTTGGGCGGCATTTTCCAGGGGGCGGCAAAAAAAGCCGCCCCCAAATGCCGAGGGCAAATGCCTTGTTAGCCTCGCGGCTAACAGACATGCCGGGCGGCTTGAGAGGGAGCTCTTTTACTGAGCAGTCTTCTCAGCTCCCTCGCGCGCCGCAGAGTGAGGCTGGGAGATGGAATATGACGTCATATTCCGGCTTCCAGCCTCACTCTGCGGTGCGCGAGGGAGCTAAGCAGACAGCTCAGAAGAAGTGCTCCCTCGCCAGCCCACCGACCGCCCAGCAGCCACTGCACCCCCAGGAAGAGAGGGAACCCACCATCCCCAGCATTCCCAAAGGTAAGGAGGCTGGGGGGGGGGGGATTTAATAAATAAAAAAATGTTAATGTGAGTGAGTGTGTGTGTCTGTTAGTGTGTGTGTCTGTTAGTGTGTGTGTCTGTTAGTGTGTGTGTGTCTGTTAGTGTTTGTGTGTGTCTGTTAGTGTGTGTGTGTCTGTTAGTGAGTGTGTGTTAGTGTGTGTGTGTGTATGTTTGTTAGTGAGTGTGTGTGTCTGTTAGTGAGTGTGTGTTAGTGAGTGTGTGTGTGTTAGTGTGTATGTGTTTCTTTTAGCTAGTGTATGCGTATCTGTCAGTGAATGTGTGTGTGTATTTAGAAGAAGGGGTGGGGGGAAGGGTTGGGTGGGGGTGGCCTAGGGCAGCACCAAACCAGGATACACCACTGGATATATGCAGTGCATAGCGTTGTTATTGCAGCCTGCATAGAATGCCTATAGTTTACCCTCACTAACACCTCTATATGAGACATTCCTATTTCTACAGTTGATAAATGTGCACCATTGCTTACTAATAATATCTATCCATACATACATACATAAATGCTAACTAAAGGCTTATATATTCTGTATGTAAAGCTAACAGAAATATTTTCAATGTCCAGAATTATTTCTCAAGTATGGTTATACTTGTTGCAATCAAATGCAATAAAACAATTTGTAAGCATCTAATGAAAACAGATCAATGTCAAAGTGCATTTCCCAGTGATTCATCAATATGGAAACCATTCATTGATTCATGCTGATGTACATTCAGCAAATATTCATGGATCCTTAATGTCGAAATGATTTCCTACCTAAAGCGTTGACTGAGTTTACTGTAAGTGGTGAGGAAATAACATAGCCGTTGGAGCTCAAAAATAAATTAAAGTTAAGCAAGGCTGCCCTTTATGAGAATTCAGCAGTCAATGAAGTAAAGTGAAAATATTGTAACCTATTCAGAATCTTTACTGCTCAACGCTCTCTTTTATTAGTAGTCTGGCACTCAAAGTGTTAAACAATTAAATAATAGTATATGTTCAGTGATCTGTAAAACTCTGATTTAAACATTAAATTAATACTAGTCAGTATTGACCTTGAGTGTTTATTGAGTAGATTGCTATTTAATATGTCAGAAAAGGGGGTATCTGACCATATGCCAAGAGCCAAAGGCAGGTTACCAGTTTACGCTCCCTCTTCACTATTCCTATGGGGATGATGAATGGAGCCAGGCTTGGTCAAGTATCTTTGTTTCAAAGGAAGGTAGGTCTATAAGGAAGGTAGGTCTATTGTATAGGTTACAGAATTAATCCAGCAAATGATCATGTAGCTCACAATGTATCAAGGAGCCAGTTCTGGGTATGGTACTAGTAAATAAATATTTTAGGTAGACCATCATACTTAACCTCCCATTTTGGACGGATGGACCTTCTTGAAGACAGTGGTTGGTCTGTCCCTTTTGGATCATAGAGGACCTTTCCAGTGTGTCTCTGACCTGTGTCCTCAACCTTAGCTTAGTCAAATGAGGCAAGAGTTTATTTTTCCAAAAATGTTGCTGGAATGACTGATGGGTGGAGAGAATGGACCATTCTGAGAAGAATCATATTTTTATTACTAGAATATTCAGAACAGGACAACAGATCCACTTAATTATCATTGTGATCAGACACAAAACAACATAGGTATTGCTCCAGAGATTGGTTGTAACTTTTTTCTTAACATTCTTTTTTAATTTTTATTTTCTGTGAATCACATGTCACAACATACATAAGAATAAACACAATCCTAATAACAGGATTCACGTGTTATAATCTAAACCTAACAGAACTAAGCTACAATAGAGCAGATCTGCTGATTCTCATTCAGAACAATTAAGTAGTATAGATAGGCAAGGGTCTTAAGATTGAAAAGGTAGGGACTACGCTGATGGTGGCCCAATACGACTCACAGCAAAAAGAGCTCAATTTGGGACATGTCCCTCTATTAGCAGAGAGACCGGGATGGTAAAGAAATGCTTAAGTCCCGAACTAAAAGCCCAACTGTGTGGAGCAAATCCAGGGTCCAGAAAACCCAGAGGTAAAGAATTGAGATGGAGGTAAGCCTCTGGCTTGCCTACCTTAAGGTCTCGTTCAAAGCACTCAGGTGAGAGGCTGGTTCCAGGTGATGGATCTGTGATGGAGCAAAAGAGTGACAATGTTGTCACTTGGAACATTGCATGAAGCTGCAGGTGATTTAGCGATGTGGTATGCAATGTTTATGTTCTAGTTTGGACAAAGTCCTTCACATCAATGATAATAAACTCCCACCAAAATAATATGCGAAAAGATACTAAAATGTGTTTCTGTGCCACGGCTTGTGCTCTGTTAACTGCAAGCTTATTCCGTCATGTACACAGAGTGTGGTTGCAGTTTGCTGCACTAGTGAGTGTGGCGGTAGTAGTGTTGCAGGCAGGATACAGCATTATTGAAGATGAATAATCCGTTTTTTTTTCCTTAACTGCATGTTATGCAAGTGTCTAAGCACCGTATACTGCAGTGCACTGTTTGCTGTGTGTAGTGAAGACAAACAGTTACATTGAAGTAGTAGTAAATCCACTAAGCAGTAAACAATTTTTCAGCACAAACAGAAGGCAGGGTGGAACCACTACAATGACAGACATTTTAGAAAATGGGGGGAACAGCAGCAGCAGTACTTTATCCACTATTATCACCTTTAGACTGAGCAGTTGGGATATTGATGAGAGTGACAGTCATCAACATAGGCAGGTTGGTTAGGGATAGTTGGACTTATCATCCCAGGCAAGTGACCAACCAGCATACTCTTGAACATTTTGTGTTGTAGTTCCTACAGACCACATGATAAATGAACACTCAATGGGTATATGTGTCCTAAAAACACGTAGAGAAGATTCTAGGGGATAAGGAGTATAAAAAGAGAGGAGGAAAATACATCTTAGCTGTCAGTGATACAATACTGACAGCCTACATACCAACACTCTCTCCCTGTGAATCTAACTAAGAAAAGACAGGATAGAAAAGGTTAATATTGTGAGGAGTGCATGTTGTGCCATAAAGTACAGTGTGTTGCAGGGCCACCATCAGGGGGCAACACCACAATGCTTTAGCAGTCCTGGGCCCCACATTCCCTCTCTGCACATATATATAGCGATGATCGCTATATATATGTGCATCCGCGGGCCCCCCGGCTCCCTATACTTGCAGAGGGGGCCCAGCAGACTGCATCTGAATGTTACAGCTCTTCCCTCTCTCTAACTCCTGTGAGACGTGGGGCCATCAGAGCGGTGCCACGGGTTACCATGGCAGCGCTCTGTGCGGCACGCATGGCACGCACCTCACACTCGCGGGAGTTAGAGAGAGGGAAGAGCTGTAACATTCAGATGCAGTCTGCTGGGCCCTCTCTGTAAGTATAGGGAGCCGGGGGGCCCCACAATGCCACCGGACCACCAGGGATGGAATCTCCCCCCTCCCTGAACCAGGTAAGAAGTAGGGAGGGGAAATAGCTTTTATTACATTTAATGTGGGGGGAGGGGAAAATGCTCCATTTACACAACATGCATACACTAGTAAACACACACTCTGCATTGACTTCACTAACACACACTCTGCATTCATTACACACTAACACACACTCTGCATTCACTACACTAACACACACTCTGGATTCACTACACCAACACACACTCTGCATTCACTACACCAACACACACTCTGCATTCACTACACCAACACACACTCTGCATTCACTACACCAACACACACTCTGCATTCACTACACCAACACACACTCTGCATTCACTACACCAACACACACTCTGCATTCATTACACTAACACAAACTCTGCATTCATTACACTGACACACAGGCAGGGGATGGCAGCCCTGGTGTTTTGTGTGAGACATATAGAGCCCATAGGCACTTCCAACAGGTTAATTAAATACACTGTAGTCCATTTAGCATGAACACTATTTAATTAATTTCCCATGTTAAAATTAGTGTAGGACACATCGATATTGGCGTAGTGGTGGGCTTAACATGATATTGTCAAATGGTGAAACTGAATCCCCATATGTGTTTGCTGGCATAGCTGATTTTATGTAGCCATATAAAACTGTATTTTTGTGTGTGAGCTGTTCCTTAATCTGTATTTTGTATAAATTTTGGTCTCTACGGCAGCACCACCGCTAAGAAATGCATGTTCTGGTTGTGCCCCGAATTCACTTTTTTATATTTTTATTTATTCCAGAAATATACTAATAAATTTTGACCACTGGGAATTGGCATTTCTAAAATACCTGATATTGTATAGCCATAAAGCCAGTCAATACTGTAGCCGTTTCTGCATGTCAGCACGGCACCTTTATTCTTCTTTTCTTTGGATTAAATTCTGCTATCCACCAACCACCCCTACCCTCTCCAAAATAAAAAAATCCTGCCTTTGATAAGTTAGGCAATAGGTATATAATTGAATCTAGAAGACACAGGGATTATTTAATTTGTTATGAAGATGGTTTTCCATCACTGATATATGATACATTTTTGTGACCATTGAGTATAGATTACCTTTGAAGGAGATGCCTCCATTCTTCTAAAGCAAAGATAATGGCAAGTAACTCTCAGTTGCCTATGCTGAAGTTTCTTTCAGTCAGAGGGAAAATAAATAATAAGTTCACATTTTGTACAATCAATAACACTTTCAGCATCTCCAGAATCTATTGAGGCCAGAACCAAAAAATATTCTCAGAATGTCAAGAAACTGGAAGGGAGAGTCTTGTTGTACCAATTTAGTGGTCCTGTCATAATGTCAGGGTAACACTAACCCTAATTTGCAGAGAAAAGGTCAGAACACAAGAGTGAGAAAAATAACACAGGATAGCCTAGAATCGTTAGAGTGGTCAAGCTTAATGCTATTGCTTCTAGAAAGGTGAAAGACACCTTTGACCTAAGAGCATTGACGGTGACACAGCTTGATTACCTGGTGATGCCCATAAATGAGTGAGCCCACCCTGAAATAATGCAGAATTGCCCACAGTAGGGACGTGTGAGTCTGGCGTCAAGCACACCAGACTCACAAGCAGCCTCCTGGCAGAAAGGACTATGTGGAAAGGACTGCTTAAGCACTTTCTGCGTTGTCCTAGTGCTTGCAGCACAGCACAAGAATGTCTAATAATGCTCTCATGCTGTGGTGCCTGGGGAGAGTTCCTTGGTGTCACCAAATATGGGACACCTAGTGTCCTATTCTACCTATCTCACTAAAGTGGGACAGTTGGGAGGCATGCAGTAAAAATGGGATTTCACCCAGAGGGAAGGCACTTATCAGCCAAACCTGTACACTCTGGTTTAGACCCGACAAGTCTCCAAGCATGGTTATTGGCAAAAATTTAATTTACATAACGATCTTCTGTTCCATACAATGACATTCTTAACCGCTGTCACATCTAACATATCTACTTCCCATATCAGTATTTGCTACCAAACTACCACAGTGCAGTGTTTGTTTAGTCATTTATTATAAATCTGAAACAATGAACCAGTAAAATGGAAATAATACTGAAAGTATTAAATATTCATAAACTAGAATCCATTAGTGTTTTAAGGACATTATAAAAAGCTAAATTAGATGTTAAAAGGAGAACTGCTGCATGGTATTTTGTCTAGATAGCTATTGTAAGAGTTCGCTCACATTGCGTCCATTGAAAAATGCAATACTATTAAAAGGATGGTGTCTATTACAATGGAAATAAAACTGGTTGTTACAGAAAATGGCATTCTACTCTTGAAAATTCTTAGTTTCTACAATAAAATAACCAGTCAGTAAAAAAAAAAAAAAAATGTGGTCAACATATTGGAAGGGATATAAATCATATTATTTTTCACAAAGAGGCCTTGATTTAATATTTTTGGATAAGGTTTACAAATGACTTCATATTTTTGTATAATCTAAGGAAAGTACATACTTTTCAAAGTAATAAAAAAATCAAAACCTATATCATTTGAAAACAATATATCTAGAAATATATATATTTTTAGATAATTAAAAAAAATTTAAATAATAAATCATTTGAAAAATATCAGATCTAGGCCTATGCTTGTTGTATGATTTAAAGCATTCTACTTAGAGCAATAATGACTGACCTTGGCAAAGCAGATGTTCGCAAATTACTTTCCCATGATGCTCAGCCAGCCCTTAGGGAAACATAGGACACAGATCTGCTGTGCCAAGGTTAGCAATAACTAGGGGGGCAATTCAAAAAACACTGCAAAGGAGTGTTTATTAAGTTCACTGTTACTATGTATTTTCAAGTACTTCTCAAATTTTCTAAGTTGAGTTTAACCCTTAATTCTATTTTAATATATGTGCCATCAGCCAACTCAGGCCTTGGGTAATAATCATGACATTCACAAAAATCAATCGATCCATTTAGACTTGAGGTTTATTTTATTAAGGAATAAATCTAGTTTGTTTTTTTACTGCTGATTGTATTTTTCCCTCTGTTGGTTGTTACTTTTATTCATTTGATCTGTAAAGCAAAAGGCAGGTAATTGCGCCTAGCAGTATACTAAAAAAATATATAGATAATTTATTTTATGTATGTATTTTGCATTTGGCCCATTTTTGTGCCTTTTGGTTCATCTGAATATTTCTTTGTTAATGAAATTTGGCCAGGTGGCCATATGGCCGAAATTTGTCAGTCCCGAATTCTTATTTTATTTTATGCAAAGTTGGTTAAGCTGAAAAAAACATTTCTAAGCCTTATGTCTGCTAAGTGAAAGTGTTAAATACATAAGTTAAAATATCAGATTGATGACTAAAAAGTAAAATCACTAACTGTGCATTGTTTGTTTATCTTTCTTGCAGTTTCTGATTTGTGGAGTGTGCGGAATTTTCTGTGCAAAAAAGAAATCAGGACTTATAGTAAGTATTTCTGTTTTCTAACACATCCATTTCACCTGTAGAATCACCAACGGTATTTCTTGAGAAAAATGTTTATCCAGTGCTGATCTGTTTTAATAAAACCTTCTTGTCTTTAAAGGGACACTTCACTGCTCAAATACAAAGTAAATAAAACATTACTATTTTGTAGATCTACACCCCAATGCATGCAGACTTCCTAATGCAGTTCAATGCAAGGCAGGTGCTCAGGTTAATTGCCTGCCTCTTGAGTTAATCTCCAGGGAGCTAACCAAACCAGGAAGTAACAGGGCCAGTTGTCTGACAAGCCAGGGGTGCAACCAGGTTTATTTATGAATGTGCCAATTTCCAACTGAAATCTGCACATTTACTAAACTGAAAAAGAGGACACGCTCTTCACACTTAACCACTTCAGCAAGCTAAAGTGCTTTAGAGGTTTGGAGTGTACTGTGTTTCTTTAAGGATCCCATTCTGAAACATAATGATCTGCTGATTTAGTAAATGTAGACCTGCACAGAGCTGTCTACCCTTACAGAGCTAGATAAGTGTCAAACCGTTTGTATGAAGTTCGATAGCTTACTGTGGATTGGCAGGGCACATCTGACACCATAACCATACCTCCTAACATTCCAAATAGAGAAAGAGGAACACTTTAAAGGGATTCTATAGAACCAGGAAAACAACCCTGTTTTCCTGGCACAATAGGCTTCTGGAGTGCCCCCCTCCCTCAGTTCCCCTCTCCCATGGCGTTGAAGGGGTTAAAACTGGCTGGGAGACTTAATGCGCATGCACTTCAATGGCCGCGCGCATTAGACCTTCCAATAGGAAAGCATTATTCAATGGTGAGGATGTCCAGTGTCAGATAATGGACCAAAAGTCTTTTTGGATTCCGGAAGCCCTCTAGTGGGCAGAGGGCAAACTTAGAGCTGCAATGTAATGTTTTACATTGCAGCACTAGGTGCAAAAGGGTCACAGCACACAGACTACTTTAATTAGCTGAAGTGGTCTGGGTGCCTACAGTGTCCCTTTAATTAAGGTGTGAGTTGGGTGTGGCCAGGGTGGGGCTGTTCAGAGAACATTTAGGTGACTTACTAATAACAATTAATGCAACTAAAATGGAATTTAGAACAAGAACAATGTATCTTATTTAAACAGACTGATTTCTAAACACATTTATAGTAGTATAAGGACACATTAATGTCAGTTCAGTTATACACTCAGACACACCCACAATATGAAGCTCCTAGAAAAGAGGGAAAAGTGGGAAATTAGGTCAAAAAGTGGAACAGAAGGATTTGGGCTCAGAATAGGGACTGCTCCTCCTAAATAGGGATACTTGAGAGGCATGCTATAACCACAACAGTATGCTGTAGTGGTTACAGTGCTAGAATATCCGTTTAATCAGAAAAGTAACTACAAACACAATCGCATTTCTGAGTGTGATTGTCTTGGGTAACCCAAGGTTTCTTTTTATGGTTTATCAGAAGAATGTGTGTTAACATTTTAATAAATTTATGAAGCCATAAAAAAGATCGGAGTATGGGGTTTGTCCTGCACTGGCTGCTTGAATTAGCTTCCATGTGACAGTGGAGGATCCCCATGCCTCTCTCATTGACTTGCTAAACAAAGTATGTGTGGGTTAAGTTCTGTTTTGGCCTCCAAGGTGAAGGTAAAACTGCTATATAAATAGTGCAATGACTCACGGTCCTCATTCTGTCACATGGAAATCTGATTTGCCCAAAGTTAGCTGTTTTTTTTTTTCTCAACCTAATATTTGCTGTGAGTTTAAGAAGTCCAGTGAATCAAAAGGATACAATATCAAACAAAATAAACAGGCAATAAATAAATATTGCTGGTCTAATTTTCTGGGAACAAAAAACAAACCTCAGATTTACTCAATGTTTTGGCTTTGCTAAACCAATACACATCAGAGGAAATGTATATTTGAGAAAAAAATGCAAAAGAAGCATTCTCAGGTCTTAAAAAGCACTCTACACCCTGAAAGCACTTCAAGATTGCTTAATTGCGGTTGATTTCAAGAGAATGTGGCCCTTTTATGAATTGATTTGGAATAATTTGAGAACTCCCTCCTGGACGTCGTGTTGACAGCCTGATTCATTCTGCTTTAACAACTGTTCAAGCAGACGTGACAGCTACCTTATGGAAACATTAATGAATCATTCCCTATTAGAAGCAATCTATTGAGCGATCACAACAATTGCTGCATTTGATCGGTACAATTGCCCATCAAGAGTCAATATTCTCCCAATAAGAAGGGGAGACATCAGTGACAGTCACCCTGGGGTGGAGCGCAGAAGCCGTGACAGAGGAATTGCTGCAGGATGAAAAAAAGATGTTATTCTTATTTAAAGGGACACTCCAGGCACCCAGACCACTTAAGCCCATTGAAGTGGTCTGACTGCCAACTCCCATCACCTTTAACCCGGCAAGTGTAATTATTGCCGTGTTCATAAACTGCAATAATTACCTTGCAGGGTTAAGTCCTGCTCTAGTGGCTGTCTATGCATGAGGACCTCCAACGTCGCCAGAATCCCCATAGGAAAGCATTGAATAATGCTTTCCTATGGGGAGGTCTAATGTGCATGGCCATTTCCGCTCATGCGCATTAGGTCTCCCCCGCTAGCTGACATCGGCGGGGGAGGAGCATGAGTGCAGCCTGACTCATCATCTAGGGCAGGGGTAGGCAACCTACGGAACTAGAGGTGCCTTTGCACGGCACTCAAGGCTACAAGAGCCAAACAGGCTCTGGCCTGTCAGGAGTCCCAGTGAAACGTCAGAAATCTGCTAATATGAAAAGGTGGTGAAGGACAATCCTCCATTTATGCATTGCAGCACCTAGAGAAAGTGATCTCAGATCACTTCCTCGCAGCACTTGTGAATGGGAATCCACACTGGAGTAGAGCAGCCCACAGCTTCCTGTTGCAGCTTCTGTCCTTGAGCTGTACCTGGCCAACCTGGACCCCACAAAAACCCAGGGAAGCCTCAGAGCTACAGAATAACCCTCCCCTCATACAAATTATACAAACACACACACAGTCCGCACAATCACAACACCACCAACAATCCAAATACATGCACACAACCCCACATGCAGCCTCTCACATGCAATACCCCAAACAGCCCCACACATACTCACACTACCAAATACACAATGTGACATATCCACCCACACACAATTCCACAAGCAGCCCCCATACACAGCCCAAATTCATATGTATTATACATGATACCACAAACTATTAATGAACATATACAATATAATAGCTCATATACGCACAAATACAACGATACAAAGCAAATGCAGTATAAATAACACAAGCAGAATATGGCAACATGCACACCTCAATTTAAAGAAATAGGACCGACATGCTACGGGACATCACAATCATATTTCGGCACAGTGCTGCTAAAAGGTTGCCTACCCCCGATCTAGGGACATCAGCGCTTGATTCAGGTATGTCACTGTATAGGTTTTAACCTCTTCAGCAACATGGGATGGGAGGGAGGGGGGCATTGCAGGATCCTGTACTGTCAGGAAAATGGGCTTGTTTTCCTGGCACTGGAGAGTGCCTTTAAAGTTAAAGGGGGTGCATCTGGCACTTATGAAATTAATATCCAATGAATATTGGTTTTAATGTTGGAGTGTTCCTTCAAAGTTGCATAGATTGGCATCAATATGTTGATTATCCTCAAAGTTAATCACATAGAATACATTTTATTGTCTTTATTCAAATTTCAAAGACCAAAATAACAGATTTGGAAAATTATCTGTCGGTTCATTTTCCGTTTTGGCTATGGCCTAAAATTAGCAAATCTCTTTTCACTTTATAATTATAGCTTTATTTGAATTTTTTAATTTTGTTTTTTGATTTTTGGGGTATACTAGTTACGCCAGAATATTAGGGTACAGGCTGCTCAGATTATTCTCTTATTATTAGCATTATTATTCTGCAGTATTAGTATTTCTTATTAGATTATTTTCTAAAATATGAATTGTTGGGAATTTACTTGAAAACTATATGTTTTAGCTTTTAGGCCATGCTGAAAATAAAAAAATAAAACGTTAAAAAAAATGTTAGCTATGTTTGCAGCTCAGCCGTTTTGGCCCAAATCTGACATATTAAAATTCACATTTTAATAGTTAGCCTTATAGATATCATAAAACAATGCCATTTTTCTATACATTGTCCTAGCAAATGTATAGTTTTGGAGAAAAGACTATTAAAAATAGGTCTTCGGACCACCTGTCAATCAAATCTTAGGCATAAGATTGACTGACAAAGGAGAGTAGAAAAGACCTCCCACAGGTCATCCTTCTGTTCTCCACACATAGCAACCACAGTCCATGTTCTGTGGTTGTTGTGGCAATTCATTAGCACCTAGTGCTTCCAGCACTGGCTAGGGAGTATAGGAACATAGTGACTGATGTCACTCCATTCAGATGCTGGCAACAAAGTGACCAGGTTGTTGTCACACAGGAGTTTTGCCCTGTTTGGGCAGAAAATTACATCTGCTAATGTAGTATGTTGTTATCACAGGGAAAAAGAGATGCACTTACACTTTGTGGAGATATAGTGTAGCTCCTATTTATGCACCACTTCAGGGCTCCAAAAAATACGAGTGCATATTCATTTATTTACTTATCCTGTGTCCTATTCTAAATATGCTGGACCCTTGGCCTTTTTACTTGTTGCATATCAAATGGAAAGAGATACACTCCAAATCCACAGGTGTGGATTATGCCGATCTAGCACATAAACAGAAGCTACACTATAGCTTCACAAAGTGCAAGTAATCATAATTTTCATTAAAATCAGCGCTTTGTGAATGCATGGATCCTATATTTTATATAGGATGTAGATGCAAAAAGCACTAATTTGATTTTAGTAATTCTGAGAATTACCAGTCTGGTTAGGATGCATTCATTTTCACTAAATGGTGTCCCTCTGGACAAAATTTGATAATTTGGTGTTTAATAAATAAACCTGCAAGGTAATAAAAATGAGGCTTCTATATATCTGCAACTTGTAGTATTCTGGCTGGAACGACTTAAGTTGTAAATGGTATATAAATATCAATAATAATAATAATAATAATGTGCATGAGGAGAAACAAATTAATTAATTTCATTTCCATTAATTAATTTTTGAATTTTGGGTTGTCCTAAATTAGAATAAATACTGAGTTGGATGAATTGAATTCCTTCCAAAAAATTTTTAATTTTTGAAATTTGGATACCTATTATTCACTCTCGGGAATGAATGAAGGCGTCAGTCACAAAGTTACAATGTACCAATTTAGGGAGTTATTTCCTAAACTGCTGAAAGATCAACATTAAGAGAAGCCCTTTTCTTAATTTTGATCTTTAAACTATTTAGCAGATTACTTACGTGGGATTGCCATAAGGATACCAATTACCAAATAAGGGAGATATCTGCTAAACAATGGCCTAATTTGATATCCTTAAATATAGCAATAGGTACAAATGTAAAGGTACACTATAGGAACCAGAAGACCTACAGCTTATTGTATTTTTTCTGATGAGTATACGCCAGAATATTAGGTACCTTCAGGCTTTTTGCAGTAAACACTGTATTTTCAGAGAAACTCCAGTGTTTACATTACCACCTAGAGATACTAAAGATGCTTCCTGGGGTAGAGCTGCACACTATGCAGAACTGCCATTCAGTGTCTACACCCTCTTCATGGAGACGCTGAACTTTCTTCATGGAGATGCACTGATTCAATGCATTTCTATGAGGAGATGCTGATTGACCAGGGATGTGTTTGGCTTGTACTGGCTCTACCCCTGATCTGCCTCCTTAACAGTCTTAGCCAATCCAATGCTTTCCTATGATATTGGCAAATCAGGGGCAGACCCAGCACCAGCAGACTGGAATAAAGGTAAGATGTTTACTATATTTAGGGCAGTACGGGTGCGGGGAGGAGAGGGAGGGTATAAGGGCTAGATGGTGTTTTTAACATACATGAATAAATAGTAATCTGTTCTTATTGTTGCACTGTCCATTGTTTAGTAGATAGCTCCCTAATTACGACAATCCCACAGCTAGCCAGTCACAATAAAGTATTGAAAAAATTATGTTTAATATTCAAAATACTTTTTTCCTGAGTTCTTCCATTGACTCCAATATATTATTCCAAGTATTGTTTTATTTCAATTAAAAGAACACTCTAAAGAAGGTTAAAATTTAAATATTGGCCTCGGTACAGCAGCTGCTCCTCCTCTTCTGAAATTGTTATTTGTGATGCCTTGGCCCAATCCAGCGCTTCTCATGAATAGCATTGGGGACATACTGGGTATTTGCAGAAGTAACTATGCTCCGCCATTTAGTTGCTTCTCATAGAGTAACATGGAATCCAATGCTTCTTTATTAGAACCATTTACAACATCCAGCAACTTCATGCTATGCATGAGTACATCAAATGTGAGTACACCAAAACTAGAAGATATTCAGTTAAACAGTGCCTCTAGTTCAGGAATAGGCAAACCTTGGCACTCTTCTTTTGTGAACTACATATCCCCTGATGCTTTGCCAGCATTCTTATTCTAAGAGCACTGTGGAAGATGTAGTCCATAACATGTGGAGTGCCGAAGGTTGCCTACTCCTGCCCTAGTCCCTTTAGACAGACATTTGAGGTGTACCTTAGGCAAAATGTAAATATTACAAGGCAATGTTTTAGATTTCCAAGTAAAATGTACTGGGTCTATTCACCAAAACAACTTTCTTAAAATTAAGCAGTTTTTATTTTGTTTTGTTTTTTTGTTTTTTAACTCCAAATGGACAAAATCTTCTATCCAAATCACAATTTTAGATCAAATGTACATTTTATCACTGAATTTTGAAATTAGGAGGCACATTCAGAGACTAATATAGAATCCTTTAAAATCATATGCTTTGGAGGTTTGTTAACTAAACGTTAAAGTGTTGTTTGGTACACCAATAACCAAGTTTTAAAATGTGGTAACATTTGCAAAGTATGAAAAAATTAGTGAACTGTAGTTTTTTTTATCCAAATTGGTCGTTTTTGTAGCTCACTACATCAATACACACTGACTCACAATTTATTAAATTCCAAAGTGATGGTTATAGCATTCATTTTTTTTTCTAATTTATAGACTAATCTTTCTACATGAGTTTAAAAAAGTTATTAGAATTTTATGTTAATGATACAGAAAACGTATCCAGCATGAAAAGTGAGTTTTTCAACATGATTCTAATCAGTGTTTGCAGCCAGATATGTTAAGTCTTGTAGAATACGGTTTGATAGATGATGATGGAATAATATTGAATAATGAACCATTGCACCTTTTCTTTATTGTATAGATGATTCTATTCTCTGCCTGCTGTATTTGTGGATTAATTGGAGGAATATTAAACATTCAGTTCCTGCGTGCCCTGACCAAGAGATCATCATCACTTTATTCTTTGCACCTTGCGTCCATATCGCTTGCATGTATAGGAATCAGTGGCTGCACGATATCGACGTGGCTAACCTGTCGACTAGCTAGCTACGAGCAAAGGAGAATGTTTCTAGAAAGAGAACATTCACTTCATCATTCTCATGAAATGACAGAAAAGGTAAGTCATGACAGTAATTCTAAGTTTACAATAATTAATTTACAGGACATAAAAATACTTTAAATGAGTAAAAGAGCCAGTGGCGGAACTACCTCCATTACAGCCGGGCCTGCTGGCTCATTTGGCCAATTGGGTGGCCCATACACTAAGGGTGACCCGATGGGTAATTTTGCTTTTTTGCGTAACAGTGGCCTGGTCGGGTGCCGGAGCCCTTTAAGAGCCTGACTGGGCTCCTGTGATATCTGCCAGCTGGGAGGAATTGACAGCCTGCCACTCAGTGGTGTATCCTGGTTTTGTGCTGCCCTAGGCAGGACAAAACTCAGGCACCCCCCCGCGCCACCCCCACCCGCGCAACCGCCACCCAACCTTCCTCCCTGCTCCGCCTTCTAAATACACACACACACACATTCACTGACAGATACGCATTCACTAGCTAACAGAAACACACACTCACTAACAGACACACACACTCACAGGCAAACACACACACACACACTAACAGACATCCACACTAACAGACACACACTAACATTAACACACACACACTAACACTAACATACACACACACACTAACATACACACACTAACACACAAACACTAACAGACACACTAACATACACACACTAACAGATATCCACACACACTAACACACACACACACTAACATACACACACTAACATACACACTAACAGACATCCATACACACACTCACTAACCCACACACACACACTAACATACACACACTAACACTAACATACACACTAACAGACATCCATACACACACTCACTAGTGTTTTTTTTTTTTTTTTATTTAACCCCCCCCAGCCTCCTTACCTTTGGTAATGCTGGGGGGGGGGGTTCTTCCTCTCCCTGGGGTCCAGTGGCTGCAGGGCGGGCGGGCGGCCGCCGAGGGAGCTCTTCCCCTGAGCGCTCTGCTCAGCTCCCTCGCGCGCCGCCAGCAGAGTGAGGCTGGGAGCCGGAATATGACGTCATCAACCCGGCTCCCAGCCTCACTCTGCTGGCGGCGCGCGAGGGAGCTGAGCAGAGCGCTCAGGGGAAGAGCTCCCTCGCCGGCCGCCCGCCCAGCGCTGCAGCCACTGCCGCCCAGCGCCCAGAATGTCTGTTAGCCGCGAGGCTAACAAGACATTTGCCTTGGGCATTTGGGGGGCGGCGTTTTTTGCCGCCCCCTGAAAAATGCCGCCCAAGGCAAATGCCTTGTTTGCCTCGCGGCTAATACGCCCCTGCTGCCACTTCCTCACTGCTCCTTACTGAGCATTGTGGGGAGGGAGGCAGGAAGCGCCAAAGGAGGCACACAGGCAGCTTGAGGGAAAAGAAGCTTCAGCAGACTCCTACACCTGCTCCCTGCAGCCAGCAGAAGCAGAACTCCAAGCAGCCACCCTTCTGGAAATGAAAGGTATGTTATCAGGAGGGTGACTGCAAATATAAACATTGACTTTTATGTGTTTATGTAAGATTGTGTCAGTATGTGTTTGTCTGTGTGTGTGTCAAGGTGTGCATGTGTCAGTGTGTGTATCTTTGTTTGTATGTGTCAGTGTATATATATCTGTATCTGTGTTAATGTGTATGTATGTCTGTGTCAGGGTGTGCATCTGTGTATATGTATACATGTCAGTGTGCCAGGGTGCACATATCTGTATGTCAGGGTGTGTGTCAGGGTGTGCATCTGTATATGTATATACATGTTAGTGTGTGTGTCAGAGTGCGTGTATTTGTGTGTCAGGGTGTGCATCTGTATATGTATTTACATGTCAGTGTGTGTGTGTGTCAGGGTGTGTGTCAGAGTGTGTGTATGTATGTGTCAGGGTGTGCATCTGTGTGTATGTATTTAATGCATCTCTATGTGGAGATGCTGATTGGCCTAGCATGGTATTTTGAGGCAAATGCTTTCATATAAGAAGGCATTAAATTTGCTGAGATCAAGTTAGATGATCATTAAAATAATCAGTAAGTTTCATTAAATGTAACAAACTAAAAAAATGAGAAGTGAACATGTGATGAAAGTCGTCCCTTAATCTAAAAATGTAAATGTAACAACTAGCAACCAGAGGGCTATCACACAGATATGTATGTACATGGCATGTCAAAATCACAGTTTAATAACCTAATAAAATGTTTTTGGATATTTTGAATAAGTACATCACCAATAAAATAGAAATAAAATAAAACAAATAATGCCTATTTCTGCTTAAGGTTGATCATAGGCCAAATGAAAGTGCACAAGATGTGCATTTTTATAATGTCCATTTGTGGTTGCCAAGGCAACAACTTAGGTAAATGCTAATATATGGATGTATCTTAGCTTTTTGAATGTAAAACTTTGAAACAAACCATTCATGAGAAAATGTTCTTTGTCAAAAATCATCCCACCACTAGTATGTTATTTTAGGCTGAAAGTGACAAAAATATGTAATCAGTTTGACATTTGTTAACACATACAGAATTACTCAGTAAATGTGAATTTAAAGTTAATTCAAATTGAACTTCACATTTAAGACCAAAGAAGCTGATCTGAGTTACAGATCAATTTGTCCTTTTCTGCTACTTTTGCCTTAAGTTTCAAATTAATTTTAAATTCTCATTTAAGTAAATAGCCTTATTGGTAATTTACAATATAATGTCCTTAATGACTTTAGAAATGTTACATCCTCTAAAACATTGTAGCTCTACAGATGAGAAAAAGGAAGTGATGTATGAAAAAGAAAGAGATTTTCTTGATCTATCCCATTATTTTGTGACTATTGCCTGAAGCAATGATATAAGCCGGTTACTGCCCGGCCAGAATACTAATTAAAGCTAGTGATAAATAAATAAATTATCCAACATATCCCATGATGACACTGGGGAATTTCACAGGAGAATTCTAGTGAAGAAAAAAAAAAAGATTTAATTTGAGAATATCTAAGCCGATTGGAGAATAATGAAAAGTTATATGCTTTCAGTTTTTCACTACCAAATATGTTTGTTTAAAATTATTAACATATCATTTGTAGTCAATAGGTTTTTATAGAAAGGTAAGAGTCGTGACAAAAAAAATATACATAAATTAAAATGAAAAAGGATAAGCATCACAAGTTGAAACAGTGAAGACAGTAGTCTGTGATATCATACCTCCCAACAACTGTAGTACCTGAATCGGGAATCTGGTGGGAGGGTGCTACAGAGGGGTAGGGGCAGTGAATACACACCAGTTGTTTTAGACTCTGCAGGGAGCACTGTTTCAATGCTCTTTACATGGTCCTAGTGCCCTAAACATGGAATGAGCACTTCTAATTATGCGCTTGTGCAATGCTTGTTGGGAAAATCCCTGGTGTCCCTAAAATAGGACACCTGGGGACTGAGGAGGGAAAGCAGGACAGGACCAAAACATCATGACTGACATGCCAAAATCAGGACCGGGAGGCATGTGATTTAATAGTCCAAAAACTAAAAAGTCGCAATTATAAAACAAATGAAATTCACAGGCTATTTACTAAAGTGAGAACTCAAAGTGAATTTTAAATTTAAGGCCAGAGTAGCTGAACTGAAAGAATAGCTGACTTAGACAATTTTTCAGTTTTAGCTACTTTTACCTTAACCCCTTAAGGACACATGACATGTGTGACATGTCATGATTCCCTTTTATTCCAGAAGTTTGGTCCTTAAGGGGCTAAGGAGACACTAAAGCCACCAGAACAACTACAGATTAACATAGAAAAGGCAGTGTTTACATTGCAGTCTTTGGACACCTCTAGTGGCAGTCAGAAAGCATTGCATTGGCTGAGATTGTCATTTCTGATGATCTCAGCCAAGGAGTCAGGGCGGGGCCAGCGCCAGCTGACCCGTGCAGCACTGGAAATAAGGTGAGTTTTAACACTATTTCAGGTGGGAAAGGGAGGATGCCACAAATAGTGTTATTAAAACTATAGGGTCAGGAATATATGTTCAAAACCATGTGAAAAATGGAGGGCTGTTGGTAAAAAAACAAAAAGGAGAAAAACCTGTGGGAAGAAAACTATCAGTATGGTGGGCTCTATCTATAAGGAGAACTGAATGTAATAGTTTGGTGAGTTTGGAGAATTCTGCATTGTAGTGAGCTATTGTGGTCATATATGAATATAAGTTGTCCTGCCTTCGGAGGCACATTAAACTCCAGACAGTAATACCATTTAGCATTATATTTCTTTCCCTCCTTGATTCAGTCTGCTGCAAGGTTCTCATGGCTTCTGATTGCTTGTACAACTCTGAATTAAGTTGCTATTAGCTGTACATGAAAATATTTTAGGTGGCATGTGCGTAGGTAGATGGTATTGTGTATGGGCATATACCGGTGAACCAATCACTTTGCTTGCCTGAAATAATTAAACCACAGACTTACTTGGTGAAAATAGGCCACAGGTTTATTAAATCTAAAATACGTATAAATCTTTAAACTTCAACTTTAAAACATAAAAAATCCTATATACATAACTTACTCAGTAAATATATACATCACTGAGTACCACCTTGCCAACCAAAAACAATCACTTGGGCAACTGCCCTCTCCTCTCATCCCAACCAGCACAAGGCCTTTCTGGGCCTTCCATTCTATGCTAATGCTAACCACTAGCTGATCATTGGCTCAGTTGGCAGGTCTGTTATTCATAACTGTACCTGAAGTTAGGGTCACTTTCCACGGACCACTGGTCAAACCCCCAGGTTGACAAGGGCCATAAGCCCCACTGGTTTACCCCCTAAATCAGCGGGGCCACCCCAGCACCAAAGCTATGGCCTCCTCCAAAGCATCCTGTAACGCCAAATTGAACAAGTTAAGTCCCAACTCTGTAAGGTGGACCCCATCACCCCTAAAATACATAGATGCATTTTGCTTGAAGATGCAGTGATGCACCATGAGCCCCCTCATTCCCTTCCTAAATGTAGACACCTGCTTGTTCAGCTTAATCCTGCTCCTCTCAAGCGCCCTGGGGTCCCTTTCACCCCTCCAATAATTCCGGGACAGCACCTCAGACCAGACAATACAGAATTTCGGGTACTTGAGCCGTAACTTGGCCAAATCCTTCTGGATCATTTCACCCAGATCCCACACTGGAATACTGCCAAGATGGTTTCCCTCCCAGATGAATTATGAGCACATCAAGAACACTGAGTAAGCGAGCCAACCGGACCATTTCAGGCAACAGGTACGCCCAGCGCATGCCCCGGGAACCGAACTGACGGACATCCGTCACCGATGGAGACAGACCCAGCTGCTTCCCCCCGAATAAACTTCAGCCCGCTGTTGTGCCCAATAAACGTAGGAATAGCCGATGACCTACACTCGTCTTCCAGCACTTACGGAGACAAAAGGGGAAACGGAATCAGTCAAGCTGGATGAACGTAAGAACGGACCTTCCTAGATTCCCACCTCCCAATCCATTGGATATCCTAAGAAAACCCCAGTGGCAGCCCCTATCCGAAACGAGTGCCCCCTAAACTCTGCACTAGGTAACCCCAAAGCCACCAACACCATGCGGAAAACCCTGATAAATTGGAATTGAGATGAGAAACTGGTGTTCCCGTGAATGAGTAAGGGGCCCGCGCACACTGGGCGAAACTCGCAGAATGCATGAAAACAGGCCAAAGGACAAATCAGGGATCTGCTGTAACGTGACCAAAGTACCCCAGCCAAGAACATCCGTCTTGGACTTACGCAGCAAAAAATGCACCACCCCATCTCACTAAAATCTTCGCCATACAACAATCCCCCAGTGACCGCCTTGGATGGGTTAACGAGCTCCCCTACCCGTGTGGCCCCGAAAAAAAGGCAAACGTGAATGCCAAACGAAACAGCGCCACTTCAAACGGAGAAGAACAGACCTGTAGCAAAACTCTAAAGAGGCCCACCATCAAAGCACCCGAAACCAGCCTCTGTAAATCCGAAACCCTGGGCCCCCTACACCTATCCCTCATCACCAATGAGACTAAAACATCCTTCATGAGATCCAGGGTCCTGGTGAGTTTGAACTAAAAACTGAGCCCTGGCAATTTACCTGAAACACACGAGTAAGCACAGCCTGATGCCTCCCATAACCAGATTAATCGTAACAGAACGTGCAATTGTTCTCAATCAGACTGGAAACTCTGCCATGTATACTCCAAGACTGAACCATGGATCCAGGACATTAATGGGTCAGCCCAGAAAGCCAACCTCGTCCGCCCCCAGTGCTGCCACCCTGAACCCACGCCACTGCAAACGAGAGAGCATTCGTTGTAATATTATTAACCCCGGGGACATGCACAGCCCGACAGTACACATTTAACATCAAGCAGCAAAGAACCAGGTGCTGCAGCAGCCGACAAATTGTTAATGGCCAGCATATTATCACAGTGGAAGACCACCCTCCGATCCTGTAGAAGATCCCCCAGAGCTCCACCTCAACCACTATAGGGAAAAGTTCCAAGAAGGCCAAATTCCTTGTTAAGCGCGCGGCATGCCAAGACTCCGGCCAGGAGTGTGCACACCAATGGACCCCAAAGATGGCCCTAAAAGTCCACTGCCCGGCCACGTCAGTAAAGAGATGGAGCTAGACATTGGACACCTCAGTAGCTTGCCAATAGGAACGCCCATTAAAACCTTACAAGAAGATGGACCAAACTGCCAAGTCCTCGTGCAGGGGGCGAGTGATCCGCACATAATGATGAGGAGGTCGCCGCTGCCAAACGACGAGTAAAACAGCCTACACATGGGAATAAGCCGGCATGCGAATTGCAGCTTGCCCAAGAGCGACAACAGCTGCCACAATTAAATCTTCTTGAGCAACCCAGCTGGCCAAAACCAGGCTGCAAAAATCCAAAACTTTATCCCCAGGCAAGCAACGCTCCCTAGCAACTGAATCAATCTCAATCCCCAAAAAACTCAAACAAGTTGAAGCACCCACTGTCTTATCAGGGGCCAGAGGAACCCCCAAAAAATCATCCAAGTAGTGTAAACGAGAATCACAAGCCACCTCCTCCCGTAACATTCAAAATAGAAACAGGAAATTGAGCAATCTATGGGCAGGCACGGGTCCACATAATAACCATCCCGGAAAAACAGCCCAGCAAATGGTGGCATTCCGGGTGCACCGAAAGCAGCCAAAAGGCCGCTTTGACATCCGCCTTAGCCTCCAAATCTTTTCCCATACTTCCTGGTGCAAATGTAACCCGAGAGGGCTCGACTAAAACATGTAGGCCGCTGCAACCACAGCTACTGAAGGAGGTAGATGTGGACACCACAGGGGCTGGGGCCATAGACGTCCCCCTCGGCACGGACACCACATTCCCCTCCCAAAAGAAACAAAGGAAGCATCCCAGCCCACACGAGCCTGCACATCCAGAGAAGGGGGGTGCAGAGACCCCGCCACCGAGCTACACTCCCACTGATCTAAAAATCCCCATAAACAACCCACCAGAGAACCCCAATGAGGCTGAAACGTCCCACCAGAGCCATCCCCAAGCCCGGCCCGACCGTCCTCCACCACAAAACCAGACTCACAAGACGGTGCAGGAGTCGACTGGAGCAGCAGAGTCATGCCACTAGGAGGTTGGGCCAGAGCTGCAGCAACCAGCAGAAAGGAAACCAGAGTAGAACCCAATGATGCTTGAAACATAGCCCGGTCCAGAGCCACCTGGATTTACCTGGAACAGGTAAATCCATATCCCTCCCCCCCCCAGACCCGGAATGGGAGTCCCACCCTAGGGGACGGGGAAGGAGGGGATGCCCAGTAGGCCCAGACAAAATACCCAGGGAAGGAAGTGGACTAGCAGAGCCACTATGGGAAGGGGACAGCTGTCTCCCACTACTCCCAGCCAGGCCCCACACATCGGGAGGGAAAACCTCTGCCCCCAGGAAGTACCCTGTGGCCTAATCACCTGCCTGGAGTCCACCTCTCCGTCCTCTTTGGCTGCACGTGGCAGATCCACATGAGATGATTGGACCACCAGAAAACCCTCGGCAGCCCTGGAAGGAGATCCAGCCTGTGCAGGTGCAGCATTTGCCCGCATAGCCACATACCAGCCGGCCCAGCAGGTGGGAATGTGGCACCTGCTTTGAAGGGCTGGAGATGAAAACTGGAAATGAGCACGGACTGCAGCAGACCGCCTCGCCACCCGGGCAGCAACGGGAGCCTGCGGGGGAGACGAACCAAGGTGCACCAGGTGCAGACCCTCATCTTGTAAGGCCTCAGCCCTGAGGACAGAAAGGACAGCCTCGACATCCATACTCAGACCCTGGCCTGAAAACAGCACTTGGCAAGCAGGTACACAAGGGAAGCAAATACCAACGCAACCACCAAGCTGTTACCAACTGATAATTAAAATTGCTTAGCCTGTAAAATGCCCATCTATTCTTACTGTCACACCCCTCTGTCGCTAATCTTCCTCCCACCCTTGATACCCTAATGACCTCCTACCATTCTATCTATACACTTCCCCTCACACTCACATGTCCCTGTTCTGTCTAGGCCTTGCCTGACTCCTCAGGGTCTGAAATGTATTAGATACCATACCATATCAGTTATCACACAAAGTCTGAAATATAAGTATAGAAGCAATACAATTTTGAGAACTACAGTAGTATAAATATGTAGAAATAAAAAACAGGTATTTGCTTATATATATTTGGAAGGATCTTCATAGGTTTTCATCAGTATAGCTTCCTAAAACTGACAATAGAATGTAAAAGTGGGTATATACCCACAGCTTGTAAGTGAAATTAAACCATCTCTTTCTAAAATACATGGACAAGCATTAAATCAACACTCCAAGCACCATAACTACTACAGTACGCTATAGTGGTTATGTTGCAAGAATTGCCAGAACTCTCCCCCCTTGTGAGAAGTCAAACCTTATTGAACAATCTACTTCTTACCTGGGTCAGTGGCAAAACTAATGTAGAGAAGGCCCTTAAGCAAAAAAGTTTTTAGGAACCCCTCCAGGGCAAAGGTGACCAAAAGGTTGATCCTTAACTTTCGTACATCTCCCGATGATTCTTTGCCAGATGAGGATCTATCATTTGCCCATCCTTGCATGTTGTATTTGTGAGCAGTGTTTGTGTGTTTGAATATTTTTGTATGGAGTATGTGTGTGTGTGTGTGAATGTAGGGATGCATTTGTGTGTAGTGAATGCAGTTGTGTTTATACAAACTTTTGCCATTTGATTGCAGTGGTATATTTTGATTGCAGTGTTTGTGTTTGAACGCAGGATGTGTTTGTAGACATTGTTGGTGTTTGAATGCAGGGGTTTGTTTGTATGTAGTTGGAATTTCAGCACATGGGTAGCTTTGTATGTAGGGTTGGTGTTTGAATGAAGGGGTGTATTTGTATAGTGCTAGCATCTGAATTTTTGGATGTATGCACATATACACATACACTGTTATACACACATACTGACACACACACACATACGTACTGAAACAGATACACACTGAGACACAGATGGATACACACACTGACAAACATGCATTGATATAAACACAGATACACATGCAAGTCATTTTTAGCCACCCTCCATTTTCCTTTGAGTCTCAAGGGATCTTGCTGCGGGGGTCCTGGCTGAGGCTGATGAAAGCTTGTGGCTGGCTCTCTTCTCCCTCCTCTGTTTCCTCTTCTTTTTCTCTTCTCACGTGGCATGGCACTTTGAAACTTAGAATAAAGCAATCATTACTCTTTTCCTCCCAGCAACGCCAGTCGAATTGCTGATCTCACATGGTCCTCATACAGAAGTAGTTATGGTGCTTGGAGTGTTTAATTTGATCTCTGTGTTGCTCTGAATTAAATCAGAGGCCTCCTTCCATCCCCCTTCTGGTATTATAATGTGTTTTTTGTTCTTTGAAACTTTCCTCATTATGTGGGACAAAGGATGCTGTAATTTTCAACACATTTACATAAACCCAGAGGAACAAAATGGAACAGTAGCAGAGAAACAAATTTTACTCAAGTGTGAAAATTATTGCTTGCAGTATAAAAAATGGTAAATAGTGCTTTAGAAACTAAACTAAACTATATTTGGGTTTGAATAGGCCTGTAATGCAATCCGTAAAGAAAATGTGTATAACTGGTAGTGAATGGGGTTAAAAGGAGTCCCATTTGTCATAAATTAAGTCATCAGTAAGAGAAATTGTAACTCCAGGAGCCCTTTTCAGAAATACAAACTTATAGGTTAACTCATCATCTTAAATAATTTTTCAAACTCATTTCCTCAGAATGACTACAATTCCAAAATGTGTTTGTATGGAGCAGGCAGAGAATTATGGGAGTTGTAGTCCAACAGCTGGGTGGGGGCCAGTTTGCTTTAAATATTTGCCTTTCTATTATGTTTTTCTCTGTATTAATATGTAATGCAATCCGGCCTGTAATGCAATCCGTAAAGAAAATGTGTATAACTGGTAGTGAATGGGGTTAAAAGGAGTCCCATTTGTCATAAATTAAGTCATCAGTAAGAGAAATTGTAACTCCAGGAGCCCTTTTCAGAAATACAAACTTATAGGTTAACTCATCATCTTAAACAATTTTTCAAACTCATTTCCTCAGAATGACTACAATTCCAAAATGTGTTTGTATGGAGCAGGCAGAGAATTATGGGAGTTGTAGTCCAACAGCTGGGTGGGGGCCAGTTTGCTTTAAATATTTGCCTTTCTATTATGTTTTTCTCTGTATTAATCATTATCAGTCACATGATTTACATTACGTTACTTATCTTATTTTCCCCCCAAATTGTCTTAACAGGAAACAGCAGAAAATGGAGGAGCGCAATTGGTTTTTAATGGAAGAGTTTAGACATTTCTAAAATATTATTAATTAAAATGTTAATATTTTATGCACAGCCATTTAAGAAGCTCTGAAATGTATCATTAAATAATTCTGTAAAATCCCAATATTTCTCTTTTTTATTCTTGGCATTTATGTAATTGAGATTTCAGGCAAGCATTGTTGCAATTTAGAAATAAAATACTATATTAAATATATAAAAATAAATATACAAAAAAATATTAATTTTTCTCGTATCAAGTAAAGAACTTAGAATACTGCACAAAATGTTATTTGAAAAACAAGTGAAGCAGATCAAGGAGAGTTTCATATTTTATATGAATACTAATGTGCTATAATTGGAACATTACAATGGTTATGTCTTTCATTCTAAAGACGTTATGTATTACGGATACTTTGAGAGCTAAATAAGTTAATAATGACACAATACTGTAAATATCTACAATTTATGAATGGGATATTATACATTTTGTAAAATAAAATTATGTTATAGATCACTTATATTTCTTGCTCTGATTGATGCATCATTTTGTTAAAGCAATATTTAGAAGAGAATGCAATTTATGGAAATACAATAAAACTACGTTTTAAATATCAGTTATGTGTTATATAGTGAATCTTTGTTTATTCAATACACATTGGAAATACCTCACGTATCACATTGAAAACATATCTATGAGGTCCTCTCATTATAACGAACATCTGGTACTATGCATGATCCTTTTCTGATACTTCTATTATAGTCAAGTCACTATTAGAGTTAATGGCAGTTTACACCTACAGTGGTACCTGGGTTTACGAATGTAATTCATTATCCAGGACGTTTCTTATTGCAAAAAATTTGTAAACCGAAAGACGATTTCCCACAGGAATGCATTAAAAAACAATTAATCCGTTCTGGAGGTCATAAAAAGTCAAAATGAGCTAGCATGGAAACCAACCCACAATGCAGAATACACAATAAAAGGCATGCAAACGACGGAGCTCAGCTCCCTACCTTTCCACAGCTTGAGAAATGCACCAAAAAAGTTCCAAATCCTCCGTAAACAATTTCCAGAATGGCTCCTAACCTCGATGCAAAAGCAGCTCCAACACCTCCACACTCGACGCCATGCACGGGGCGGTGCTATAAACCTCCCAGGTGCAATGCATCCTGGGAAAACTTGCTTTGTACTGCGAAAGAAATTTGTAAACCGAGGCATTATTTTCAATGGATTTTCATTTGTAAACCAAAAATTATGTTAACCGAGGTGTTTGTAAACCGAGGTACCACTGTACTTGCCATTTAAATGGACACGCCACACCCCTTTAGCTTGCTGAAAAGCTTTATATGTGAAGAGTGTGACATATGTTTTTCAGTTTGCAAAAAGTGCAGATTTCTATAGATACAGCAGACTACTGGTCCTGTTACTTCCTGGTTGTTTAGCTTAGTCGAGCTAAACTTTAGAGGCAGCAATTGCCCAGAGCACCTGCCTTACAAAAATCTGCACACATGCTTCTACCACATTGTTATACAAGTCTGCATAAGTCATTTTTTGAGTGAAGTAGCTGTAAATGCGTATCGGAATTGGAGATTAATAGCTTGATTGAAAAATGTATGTGACACATATAAGTCTTAATAAAAAAATAAAAAAAATATTAAAATAAACATAATTTACCCCTGTTTATCTTTTCCTAGTCAATCCATGCTGGGCAGACATGTTCGCCAAGACTGTTTTTTAATCACGTCTTTCAGCTTTACTAAGACTGTCCTATTGCCCCAAGGCCTGTAACCTAAATACTGTGGCTAGTAGTGAATGATTGCTGATAGGACTAGAGAAAGACGTATCACTAGGTCAAAACATTGTTCTCTTTGCTCTGATGACTTTAATACATTTGGCGTGTATTTCACCTACTGCTGTGTGCCGGTTAATTTTCTTTATAGTAGAAGGAAAGATCTTCCTTAACTTTTAAATAAAATAAAGTAGAATTTGATGTTTGTATTATGCAGGGTTATCGACAATGCACCAAATTATTCATCTTTTGACCAAGGGAATAGGCTCCAAAAAATTACATACAACAAAGTGGGTGAGGTTTTTTTTTTTTTTTTTTTTTTACTAGACAGGCTGATAGGTTCATGGAGCTATCGAATATAGAATGACAACGTATATCACGTATAATACATTTGTATGGTAATACATTAGTAAGCATGTTACTTATCCAAAATACACAGTTTCTGTAAATGTGTTTGACGTGGGTAAATTAATTGATACTTTAAAAATGTTAAAGAACCTCATGGGCTTTGAAGCTTATTGGAAGTTGTGCACCCCGGATTGTGCATGTTGAATTAATTGGTCCCAGCTGCACCCTTTCTCATGCATACATGTTCAGATGAGTGCAGCTCGTCTTTTCTACATGCAGGATTCAAAACCTTCAGTAGCCTTTGGCAAGTGAAAATTCAGCCCTGGTAAGTAGAAATACACCCATAATTAGTGTGCACTGGATCCTCCAGGCTGGTAGTGGCTTGCATCTTTCAGACCTGTGTAGTAGCATAGGACCTGAAATGCTTGAGCCTCATTCAGATTAGGACCAGTGCCAGGCTGATGAGACTCACAAGGTTATAAATGAACAGATGATGCCTAGTTTCTGGTCATTGGCCCTTTTGGATCATAGCAAATGCTACGGTTTGAAAATACAGCATTCATTGGCAAGGGTACCTGCAGAAATGCAGGGTGAAATCTGAAACACAATGCCTACTATAGTGGTCATGATACCAGGAGTACCCTGGCTGGTTTACTGGTAATGGGGGCAAACCATTTAGTAATTGTTTGCCCACTTAGCTGGGTCACTGTTTGACTCCAGTGCTCCCTGGTTGTCCAATGACCCAGCTTCTGCAGAGCAACAGAAGTCGGGCCATCACCATTAATTGGCTGAGAGCATCCCATGGGCAGAATTCTGACTCACAAATCAAACTGAACATGCTACCATTTGGAGTTTGGGAATTCCTACAACCACCCGATCGGCCCAAATTTGGACAAATTGCAGTTCTTCATTAAATAAATCCCCACATCCAATAATTATTTGTTAACATATAGTTTTGTAATGAAATTATTTCCATTTTGAAGGTGTCTATTGCCTAATTCCTTGCAAAATCTGCTTAGACAAATTTCTCTCTGTTCAATCTTTTGCAGCATATTTAATTTATTATAGTGTTTTAGATTTAGAAATGCAAAATATACCGTGTTTTTGATAGAAATGAGAACTTTTGTCAGTGCCATTTATTAAATTTCATAGAATTAAATTTGAAGGAAAAATCACAGGTGCTGCTGAGGATCAAATCACAGGTGCAAACATTCAAACTATAGAAATATAATTGATTTAATTTTGGCAATTTCAGTAAATCAAAAATACACTCTATAT